TGTTTAGCCTTAGCCTAGACTTAGATAAATGTAAAATATATTTATCTGATGAGTGAGAAATGACCATGGTATGGTTGATGATATGATAGTACGGTGTCCCCCAACCGACTAAGTGTTGAAGGTTCATAATAAGCAGCTCAGTGAATTATACAACTATTTTAGCAAGCTATTGCCTTTCATTCTATTAGCAATTTTGGTAATGTTTTGTTTTCATTTGAGATGCTATACTTTACACCGGTACTCCCGTAATGTGTGTACCAGGTTAGGATATAATTTTATTCCGATTCTCTTTATTTTAGTTATATTACAAGTTCGGGGACTGTTTGTGTTAGCCAAGTGGATATACCCCCTGTCCATAGGCTTCAGTCCCTTTACACAACTTGATGTAAAGCAGGCGAACAAAATTAGTTACCTTCATATTGGTATACGTACTTCTGGAGCGCCACTTTACGTACATTACCTTAATTCTCAAGTACTAGTTTTAATCGACACACACAACAGTGGGGAAAAGGTAGCAGGTTTTTAAAATTGTTTGACTATATATATGTAATTTTATATTCTGATTAAAAATCATGGATCAAATGTATGAAAAATCAATTCAAAATTTCGGAAAAATGTAACATTGATTTGTGTCGAGCTAATCAAACAACCCCAATTCATCCATGTTTCTGTCAAGGAGGATTTCAAACCACTCGTGATTAAAATTCTTAAATTTGTTCGTTTTTAGATTAACCGTTGATGGAAAAGTATATTTTGTAGGTTATTGTTAACTGCACGGTTCAGAACTCGGTCAGTGTCAATGTCTCTGTGACTAATTATGTTTCAATAAAGCAACATTTAATTGAAACCTTTGTGATTGACATTAAATTTCGCCGAATTGATCTAAGACTGAACTGAGAAAGCCTTTGCCCAAATGCAATCGCATTTGTGTTGGAGACAGGAATTGAGTAACCACGGGTACTTTAGTACAGTACACAATTTGGCCTTAAACAGCTTGGTTACGTGTTTTTTTGCAATATTATTTCGTTTTTATTTTAAATATTATTAAATTTTTCTAAATGAACTCATATGATAGTTTCGCCCCATAGACTGCTTGAGGTTCGGAGATGACTTCCGAAATCAGTCGAGATTGGGTTTCTCAGATAATTAATTAATCGGATGTGCGCGTTTTATACTCAGAATAAGCCTGATCTAACCAGAATAGTCAAATATTTACGTTCATTATTTAAAATTCATTGCGCGACTTATCGTATAATTATAACCATAATTTGAAGATCAGTCACAAACGGCGTAATGACTGTTTTTTCCCCCTATTATGTCATTGAATATAACGTCATCTAAATTAAATTACACCCCCCTCCTCACGAGGCTGAGTTTGCGAATTCGATATGGACTAATACATTGGTAGGATGAATTATTAAAGAACATTTCGTCGTTCAATTTTCGCAAATTACGTTAGGTTAATTTTCAGATTATTATATTATGTGTTTAGCATCTAATAGTACCATATTTGATTGTCGACTCGAAATAATCACCAATTAACCTGTCGAATAACTAAATCCATATTTCTGCGAAAAATCAGTACGATATGCTATTAAAAAGATTAGATGCTTATATATATACGTCATACTTATTTGAGATATGGCTATGTGCCAGGCGGACAATCGTCGCCTCAATGTCGGTTATTACCTGTACATCGTCGATGACGATTTTATTAAATACAACCCGTGGTTTTAGATAAGTACAGCAGCGGATAGGTAATATAAAATCAGAGAGTCAAAGACCAAAATTAATATTCGTTTATGAGATGGAATAGCTATGTCGGTAAATGTGGTTTGAACGCCTGTGGAAGTGGTAAAAAATAGAATGTAAAAACGAGAGGAATAAAATCAAAAAAGTAGAGATAAATTTTAAAACGATGTTTGTAATTAATTGGCATTAATTTAATCTCGGCGAGTGGGCGCATAACAACCTTCATTTTTAATACAAATATAGTTGATTCTTGGGAGTTAGAATCGAAGCCCACTCTCCGAGTCTGATCTAAATTTACCTTCATTTTCTCTGCAAAGAAATATAATAATTAGGATAAAAAATGCTGAATTTATCGGAAAACAAGAACCAGTAATGAAACGGAAATCACTTAGACACGTCGTCTCATACGTAGATCATTAGCAATCTACGCATCAAACTATTTAATTTATTTTAACTTAATGACATAGAAATATTGTACTGTAATGCACGGACTTTAACTAACAAACGTGGCCAAAAGTCCAAAAATATAACCGCTTAAAAATTTCGTGAAAATCGTTATACGGACTACCTTGCATAGTTCCTTTTTGGTATAGTTACAGTTATTACTGTCATTTTCCCACAGACATTTATCGTCTGTAACGGAATTCTGAATGTACGATTGCGAGTTTATTTTTGTACTTATAAGTAAAGGTCGTATCTTGTATTACCGGTTAATAGTTAAGCCGATTAGTTCCAATAATAATAAATTTATGAAGTTTATATATAATACTTTAATCGAACCATAAACAATGCCGGCACGTGAAAACCATGAGTTCCAGCTAAGCAGCTGGTACCACTAAACGAGTGCATACTTATTCTAATTACTTATTCTAATTTCCGCCATACCCAAGATTCTCAATTTTTCGTCTTTAAGTGTGATACATATTTTCCCATAATATACGCTTCAAAAAAGTCTAGACAGACATGTGTTTGGAAAAATACGGAGGTTATAAGTAAAGACTCTGTGAATAGTTTTCCCCAAGTTTAATCTTCTATTCAATTTATTACTGGATTGCTTCGTGGAAAATATAAAAAAAAAAATTAAACAAGGAAAAAATATGCAGGCCACAATTTATAGATAGGTCAATTCGATGTAAAGATTGTTTCAAAAAAGGTCAGACAGAGGAGTTTAATTTTTCTTCAAAGTAACGGGAAAAATGGACATTGTAAAATCATGTTAGTGAAAAACATCGAGGAATGTATGAATAAGATCAAGTTTTTGATGTAACGCTTTAACAGGGCATTTCACAGCTTTGCTCCGCACAAGGTGAGAAAAAGAATTCACTTGTAATTTTAGGCGTTTAAAGACCTAATGTTTGGAATGACTTCAGTTCCGGAAATAAATAATTTCAACGAGCATAACTATAGAGACGAGTTCAAATATTCTTCATTGTCATACGTAACAAAGCCTTATATGTCAGGCTATGTTTACATCACCAAACTATAAAAAGTATTGTAGCAACTTTTGTCAGATTTATAGCAGCTAAGTATAAGGAACCGTAAATAATCAAAAACCACCTTAAAGATAGGTCATATCAAAATTAAGATTGTATACAGAATGAGCTTGATACTATTGAAAATGTATTGCTACTTTAACGTTCTTTTAGAGGTAAATCGAATATCAGTATTTTTGATAAATTATATAATGTTTGCAAATAAAGGATTATTAAATAAAGGATATTGTCTGCGCCACTAATTTTAACTATATTTTGAGTTACCGGTAATAAATTATAGGATTTACTGATTTTTTCTAAAAGTTTGCGTAACTGTGTTATATCTTGATATACATGTCTGTAATTCTCGAAATATTTTGTTTTGTTAAATTTATAACGGCTTTCTAAAACAAGAAAAAAATCTTCGAAACGTTGACGTAAACGAGAGAATGATATTGCAAGCTTTAGTTGGAAATCGACTCGGACAGAGGACGCATCTCTTGGCGCTTCAGCATTAACTTTGGTATTTTATTCTCACAAGATTACTTGTATATATTACTTATATAAATTATTTGAGCACATTGTAAGAAACCATAGATGTGAGAAGATAGCGTGTATCGTGGTAGTAATTTTCAATAACCATAAAAATCCCTTACCTACTGGATGTCTTGAAATAAGTTTCAAGTTTATACTAAAGATGATTAATTGAGAGGAAGGTATACTCTGAGTGTAGCCCCTAATATATATTATTAATTGGAATTTTAAAGGAAATAATAAAGAAAATATTTGCATTCGTGCACAGGGATTTTTTTCTTTTCGGAAAAATATTTTTAGCGAATGTAATATGGAGTTATTCCACAACTTCACGGTTGTATTTCTAGAAGAATGTCAATTCATTTATATCTATAATTGTTTTTATCCGTTGTACGTCAGATATGTAAGTTTTGCGTAGTCGCTACAGAAAGGCCTAAATTATCGGACCTTGTTAAATGAAATTGTCGTTATCGAGTAATGAGAAAATCACCTTTGAATCGTAAGTATTAACAGAATTGTTCAATTCGTGGTGTCTTTGTCGCCCAGACTTTCCACAAACCGTCAAAAATTAGGATATATATATATATATAGGGCTGGTAACTGTGTTTATCTGCGCTTTAAGTTTGATCTTGGGGCGTAACCGCTAAATTAGGCGTTAGTGATATTTTACATGGATAAGTTATCATGTTGAGTATCTCCGATTTTTATCAAAATGATTTAATAAATATGCAGTCAGAGTATACGTCAATCATGCACAGCGATTTGGCAAAATGGCTTCAAAGCTACTCAGTTAGATCTGTATGTAGTGTATTAAGCATTAGATAGAAGTATTGGCTCGTCATGAATGTGTAAAAATCGAGCATAAAATTGAAAACTCATTTGAAATGCTAAATAAACAACAAATACAAGTTCGAGTTGGAAAGTCAAAATCAATCAGATATATATCACGACTTTCAAAAACTTCGAGTTTTTTCTCTGCTTCCTGTCACTCCAAATGTGTATATATATTCGAAATTATTTCCAATGACATTTTTGTGTTGCATGTTTATGGAAGAATGCAAAAAAATGTGAATATGTTCGAGTACTTTTTCACTCTACTATGCTATCCACTAAACCACCTTGTAACAACATTTCTTCATTTGTCAGGGTGTCGTACTTTAATTAAACCGTTTAATTTTACCTTTTGATGTAAAGTGACCAATTTTTAAATTATTTCTCAGCATAAACCAGTAAATTAAAAATTATACTAACAATTCTGTGTACAGAACCACGTCGAAAAATCGAGACAATTGTATGGTATTCAAGAAATTAGAAAATCTTATATTTTAATTCAAATCAAATCCACTGATCAGAAGATTGAAATAATTTATTTATTCAAATGTTGCTACGGTTTACATCGCCGCTTGTGGTGGCGGCTGTTTTATTTTTTTTCTTCGGAAGTACAAATGCGGACTCTGAAAATGTAAATGGTAAGTTGAGGTTTTTTATTTTGTAGAAATATTATGTTTTCTACTCCATACTGTTATTTTAGTCATTGGCGAAAGCTGCGGCATATGTCATGATCAGCACGTCAGTCAACTTGGTGTTAGCAATTCTCGAGTTCTACTATGCCTATTGTTTTGAACATGAAATATAAAAGCTAACCTTTGTAACATTTTACGGTACTCCCAAAGTATGTGAACCAAGATGACGGACACTGGAACGTAGTATGTGTATCAGTTTTTTTCCTTATTTTAGTTCTATTGCAAGTTCGGGTAGTATTTGTACAGTAACTGGAATTATGGCCTATCATTAACCTGGTACACATACTACGTTCCGGTGTCGGCCATCTTGGTTCACATACTTCGGGAGTACCCATTTTACACTCTGTTTGAGAATTTTGCAATAAAAATATTGTCATTGATTTTTCTCAGCGAGAATATAAGCTGATAAATTCTGATAAGTAATAATTATATAAAGAGCAAATTGATTAACATCAAAGTTAAATGCGTTTTTAATTCTGAATTCCAACCACAAATTTATTTGCGTAATAACCACATTCCCAAAAACCGATATAGTTATTATATGAATTTCAGAATTTGATAATATAATATTGCGGCGTACTTATTTGATGTTCCCCCTCAGTTAGGAAGTGTGAAGTATGGCATGTTTGTTTTATTTCCTGTTATAAAATTAGATTAAACACCTGTCCTAGAATTAACTATTTCAAACCAAAAATTTCCATAATTAATTATCCACAAACTAATTAAAATCGGATGTGGCATGCATAAATAAACGGTTTGATGTTGGTTAGCAAAAGGTCAGTATTTAAATTCATTATCGGAGTAATACAGTCTATAATTTTACCGGTGATTGCAGTAGGCAGCGTAATTGACGTTCGCAAAAGTCACGTTACGTTGTCACGCCTAGCCTTACCGGTATAACAAGTTTAAAATACTAAGTTGGAGTCTATTTTACGGTAATCTGGTGTTTAATCCACGTCCACAATCCCAGATGGTATGTTATTGGATTGGAAATATCAAATGAATATACTTAAATACTTCCAATTTCAATGAGATCAAATATCAGAGAGACATCTTTTAGTCTAGTCTAAACTTAGAGCGAAGGGTCTAACTTTATTGAAGATTGTAACATTAGCTCTGTGCCAGCCAGATATGTGATAACTCATATTATGTCTTGAATGTTTATCAATGATGCAAATGTTCAAAATAGTATTCGAAATAAGACAATTAATATATTAGTATAAGACAAAAAAAACTTCGAGTCAAAAACCGAAAGTTATTATATTCCATATTATATGTTTTCACAACGTTTTTCAATCCACAATAACGAGAAGTTGACCTTCTAATGTAAATTACTTTTGCTAATTTGAATTTTAATATAAATTTTTATCGAAACGGGCAGTGTTAGTAATACGGTAATATAAAGAAAATTAGTGTACAGTATAACTTTAAAATGAGAAATATTGAAATATTCTTATAAAAAATAGTCGATATTTTTGCAACGTATTGCCTAAAGCTTAATGACTAATATTCTAAGAACGAAAATGTCAGTTCAAATTTAAAGTTTAAGTAAATGTCATTCGTCCAAATATAAATAGTATTTTCCAGAAATGTTCGTTCTAATCGTTAATGTGGAATTCGTTGCGAAAGGGAGATGTATTATTAACCCATTTTCATAACAATCCTGCAGAATGCCGGTAAGCTCATATCAACTGTGTGACAATGCGGCTATTTTGGGCATGGAATAATGTGAGGACATTTTAGTGAAAAACGCCATGTACATGACTTAAATATATTCTATTTTTGGCATTACAGTGTACGACTTATTCAATTGTGTTTTGTTTAAGATAAAAGTGCCGGCACCCTCCTCTAGACATAGCGTAATGGCTGGTAACTGTCGCTTACATCATAAATGAACGTTAAAGTATACATACCTAAATGTCATACCCACGATTCTACGTTCATAAGTGCAATACATTACATCATTGTCAATTATAACGAGGTTGAATTAATTATGGCTTAAATCCACTTTGGGAGGTCATGTTTTATTTTGACGGTAATTAAGAACTAAAAATTGAAATAGTACGGTTCAAACCACGTTTACGCACAATGAGAAATCCAACACGGACGATATATCAAAATATTTACAGCATTATAACCAAGAATATATATATACCATAACACGATATAATTAATCAAAACTTGTGTTATACGAATATGACATCCTGGAATCAATTTAAAATTATGTATTATGACGTAACAGAGCCACGAATTTGTAATAACTGTGAGGATGATAATTCATATCGCGCTCAAATGCTGTCTCCACTTCTACCTATTCTACGAAGGCGTGTTGTTTTGTTTTAGCCCATCACGACCAAACTTTACGTAAAAGCTGGTGAATTTAACGATATTCAGCAAATTAACTTCTGTTTATCTGTAATTTTACAAAGCACGTAATGATGATACACTTTTGTGTGCCAGACTTACCAAACTTTTCCACATTGCCAATTCACATTACATAATTGATCCTTCCAAATGCAAATATCGTCTTTTGACAAAAATGGCGATTGCGATTTTACATGACTACTGAACCATCCGCGGAAAGAATTTAACGTATCTCACGAACTCGGTGTGAAAAGTGGCAACGGGTTTTGTACGTAGTAACGTACTCGGAATTCCAATTAGGATACTGTGTTAAGTAATATTGCAAAATAAACATTCCCGTGATATTAGCCTCATAAGAGGCGAATATAAATAAATAACCTATTTCTAAACGCTTTATGAGTCTATACTTATTCTCGTTGCCAGTAACATATTGTGTAATTAATTTACCAAGCACAGTTCTTTGTTACCAAATAGGGGCACATTCTGTCGGCATTTCCAATGGAAATGTTACGTGACCAATACATTGTACTATTATGATGGCATGAAATATCTTCACGACGGCTTTTCTATTGTGAAAAACGATATTTTATATTTCTAATTTGTGATGAATTTTCTCCAGAGTCTTCAAATATTATGCGCTTTGCTGATTGAGAATTACCGTCAACCTTGGATAATATTAGACTTATTACCGGTCTTGTCGGCATTCTGAATTGAAGGCAAATACGACCGATGCAATTTGGTGATATATGCAAGCCTAACTACCTGTTCTTCTTGTTAAATGTTTAACGTGATGACGTAGTCTATGTTATGTGACCTGACCTATAGACCGGCTTAAATCAATTTTTTCAAAATCAGTTGCGTGATATAGCAATGATAGATTATAGAAAATAAAACCTTTATTTATTGCCCTCGTCCACGAAATTGCGCGATCATTCATTGTCTTACATTTCCCTAAAATCGGAACGTGAAGTGCTAAAAGCGGGAGTTTATTTCTATGCATATTTCCACATTTTAATTGTTTCAGTCAATTTATGGCCAGCGGATGGCCGTTCGCTAACTGGGCATATATTCCACTCGTTTTTCTGGCACCAAGAGTTCGGTTTCATACCACATAACTTCTATATTTTATATAAAATTTATGATTAATATTTATTTTTCTTTGTTTCATACTTTGTGTTTTTCGCGGAGTTTGAATCAAACGTTCACCTATTTTGGTTTTGTAAATATCCTTTGCTATAATCCATTTAGTTTTGCCTGGTCTAAAATAAATAAGGTAAATTTAATTCTTGCTATTCGGGACTTAAGAAACAAGTTCCTTTTGAGTCTGTTTTTTTATTTGCTAATGATTGGAAGTCTCTTGACCTGTCATATAAATTTCCATCAAATTTAGAACGATGCATGAACCGCTTTGGCCACATTGCAATATCTTATTCGGTTAATAATAATTATAAATAAAAATATTGTTTTCATATATACGTAATGACGCAGCGCAAAAAATTTATAGATTAGGTGTACGTCATGATATCCTTTTCACTCACGTTCCAACAATTAAAATGTCATTTAATCGCGAAAACATTTCTGAAAAATTTCGAACATGAAAATTTGGTATCGAAAATTGTTCCAATATATGATATTTTTCGATAGTTGGCAACTTTCAAAACAAATGTCCTCATTGCCGGCAAAAAAGGGATATTGTTCAGAAGACACTGGTTGATATCGATTGTGAAATGCAAATTAATTAGAATATATAATTATTTGTTGTGTATAAGATGGCATTATACAAACATTTACTTGTGTTGGGAATTCAATAATCACGATTTACCGCAAAATTTTAAGTGCAATCAATTGCGCTTAAAACTCATTATCAGAAGAAAATTGTAAACTAATTATCTGCAACATGCTTACGGTAAACGCCTTTTCGTTTATTAAATATTCACAATTTTATTTGCCTCTGGCGACTCTGTTTTTGAGATTTTCAAATTGTATATCGGGTAGACTAAACATTGCAGGATTTTAATTGCGTGGCATAGGATAAGCTATTTTACATGAATTAGGATAATTTTTCTCCTAAATTGATTCCATATCATGACTTGATGTTTTTATTATACAAGTTTTAACACTCGCATATACCTGCTGTGATCACCAACTCCTATCCATCAAAGCTTAAAAATAAGTGAAGAGAAAATAAGAGCATTTTGAGGATTTAGCGAGTTTCTGAAGTTCAATAAAATTGGTTTTCAGAGGTAAACCATTCTAGTATCTACCTATTTTATCAATGCTTCTAATTGCAATAATTCATTTCTTGACATTTAACAACTTGGTGAAAGTCACGATTGGGACGAAATTTAAACGTTTGTTATTATATTGATAAGTTATTCGTATCCAAGATTGTCGTTCACTGCACCAACGACAGATTCTCTGAAAAAGGGGAAAAATTTGAAGAAATTATTCGTAATTCACGCCCTCGTACGGTTGACATTAACGATAAGAAGAGATAACATGACATGAGTCACTCTTTGGTCATTTTGATGTACATGCAGAAAAATTAATGTTTCTTATAAAATAAATTCCACATAATTTGAAGCAGTTGTAAATCAAAAATCGTACAAAAATATATATTTTTTATTAAAAGCGATTAAATAATGAATGGCAAAGTATTACGCATTGGTCAAAAATTAACAATATAGTATAAATCTGGCAACCTATGACAAATATTTTCTTTCAGAATGTCAATGCTGGGTAGCACGACAATTACGAACAGCGTGCGATGCCGGTGCTTTTCTACCAGAAGACGAATGCAAAACAGCAGGATGTTGTTCTTCATCAAAGAGGTCAACAGATGGAACACCCACATGCTTCAAACCAACAGGTGTGCAATTTTAATGTTGCTAACATTTTGTTTCGAAAGGTTTGAGCCCACATGCTAACGTGTGTGACGTAACTCTCAGATATTCATGTTACAAAAACTAAGGTCAAAACGATCAAAAGTTCACAACTGTCTTTCCTTTTCAGCAAAATGTCACCAATTGTCGCAATGCCATATCCAACTTGAAAAGCGAAGACCCTGCGATCGTGTGCATTTCACAGCAGGAAGCAAATTATGTCAACAAAGGGGTTGTTGCTTTGATTCCACCTACACTCCGTCATGCTATCGTGCATTCAGTAAGTTTCATACATTTATATATATCAAATTCAATGACGATTGAGACCAGAATTGTGGTGTGCTAGTCTGGAGCGGAGTGTGCTGGCATGTTTTTACTGAATTCGGAGTCATGTTTTCAAATTTCCCGGATTTGGAGTCAGAGTAGAAATTCTGCATTCCGGAGTTGGAAAAAATTTCTACAAACACTTAAAATCGTTGAGTTTATTGAGGTTTCTTAACGATTTAGCCAAAGTTTTTGTAATCAAAATTTTTCCGGAGTTCGGATCTGGACTCGCGCGCAAGCGCACAATTCTTTCATGTATCTTCGCCATCGCTTGGATAAAATTATTGAAAATCGTCAGTATCGTTAATTTCTCAGGATTTACAATGAAATCATTTCGGATACCGCAATCCTTTTTTAATTGCCAAATTCTGTTTTGAATAGGTTTATACGACGGGCCGGGATCTTACAAGCCGAGAACAACACCGCTCACTCCACAACGCATATCAAGAGCTCAGTCAAGAGATCTCCATTTGTCGTTATCAAAGCTTCAAAATTTTGGCGCCGAAAGACTACATGACGTCATGAGAAACCAAATGATAGATCACAAAGAAAGTGTGGCTTTCAGAACTTCAATGGCGTCCTTAGCTGGAGGAAGAAAAGTTTTAGTACAATGTCCATACGATTCCAGATCGAAATCATGTGGAGGGAAAGACATTTTAATGTAAGTAAAAATGTTGCTATGTATTTTATTAGATGTATTTTATTTATTTATTTCTCACTCTTAAATCCTCGTGGGTGCAAACATATATAGATACAAACGTCTATGTATCATAAGTGAATATGTAGTTGCTAGTATTCTGCATGGGTCTAAATATACTCAGAGTAAAATTGCACACTTCTTCTGACGAAGCCTACTCGATTATAAGAAAGGTTTTCGACATTCAACACTCCGATTACAATAGTTGTATTTCACAATAAGAATATACAAATCCCGTTTAATTAAAGTACTCTCCTAAATTGCTTTGGCAATGAAATCATACTTTATAATATAATATATATTATCCAATTTAAATTATTTCTGATTTATAGTTAGAATCAATCACTTGAAGATAATGAAGAGAAACCGTGAAATCTATATTTAATTCAAAACAATTCAGGAATAATTGATTTCCAAGCTATCAAAAGTCACAAATTATTTCCAAATACTGTAAAAAATAATACAATATGAATGGCATTGACGTCATAATAATTTACTTCACATTTGTATCATAACAAATTGTCAAAATCGAGATAATTAAGGACAGAAATGTTTTTTTTTCAAACAAGCGGAAGAAGAAATTTTAATTTTTTGCGTGACAAAGCAAAACAATAGAACCAAAATAATTAAGTTCATTATTTCTCGAATATAGTTTCGAAAACACTTATCATATGAACTCCTGCCGTGATTATATTTTGATTATATAACTTGAAGTATAATTTCAAATCACGTTGTTACAGATCTCTGATATAAATCTCCATTAGTTCAGTGACTAAAACGTCATATTTCTGAACGTAACATATCAACTAAACCATCTGGTCTTACTAAAAAAATTTCAGCTGATATCGGGGCGCTCCAGAAGTATGTGTACCAATATGGGGGGTAACTAATTTTGTTTGCCTACTTTGCATCAAGTTGTGTAAAGGGACGGAAGCCTATGGGCAGGGGTTATATTCACTTGGAAACACACAGACAGTCCCCGAACTCGTAATAGAACTAAAGTAAGGAAAATCGGAATAAAATTATGGCCTTACCCAAACCTGGTACATACACTATCTCTACAGGAGTACCGATAACGGAATCTGAGGTATGCTGAAACGAAAAATATCATAGCCGAATTATGCCCTCGTTCCAAAACTTATGGATTGCCAATAAAAGCACGGACACTTTGGCATGCAATATATAAAATGAAATATTTATGTTGTCAGAAATATCGCAACCGTTTACTTATATGATTGTGATTAATGCCTTGACCGGCATACGGCTAGAGCCAAGGAGACACACTGTTTAGTTTATTGTGACAATGCATTTTTTGTTCCAAGTGTAGGGAGTTAGAATTATGTCTGGATATTTAATGAGTATTATGACAATGCCATTATAATAGGTAAAGAATATTTAATATGCTGTTTACATGAAACAAACTAATTTCTCGCGTGTTGGAGTTTTTTGAATAATTATACTTTATAATGCATAATTGTGGTGATAAAAAGGTGTTATTTCATTTGGCTTTACTGGTTAAAACAGTGGTTCCCAAAATTGTGTTAATGCGACTTGGAGTATTGGATCTTCCGTCGCGTCAGGATCGTTCATGTGTACTAAAACAAATATCTATAGTATTTTATTTTTTCAATTTCTTTTTAGGAGAGACTGTGTAAATCGCCTATGTTGTTGGAACCCGACTTTAGCAGCCAAACAATCAACAACCAACTGTGTGTATCCTAGAATAGCCAGGATACCTGAAGGAATGATGCCGACTGTGGAACCTATTCGTAGAGAAGAAAAAGGAGAGGAAGGCGAAGAAATAGAGAAAGAAGTTACAATAGAACCATACGAATTACCTGAAGGTATTATTAAAATTGTTTTGTTTTTTTCGATGTTTATACAAGCATATCAGTAATATGCAATGATGTAAACGGTGCAAGATATATAAATCGCGATGCTTGGTGGTCAAGCGACAGTCCTAAATGTGCGCTCCAGAAGTATGTGCACCAATATGGAGGAAACTTATGGGCAGGGGGGTATTCAATTGGCTAACACAGACAGTCCCTGAACTCGTAATAGAACCAAAATAAGGGGAATCGGAATAAAATTATGAACTAACCCTAACCTGGTACACATACCACGGGAGTACCGTTAAATGTGTTGTCATGGCAGATTATGCAATTCGGATTCGAGTCCAATGCCCAATATACCCAGGTATAGTAAGTCAAATTTGCAATGCGTAACCGGAGCGTCTTCGTTCCATTACAAAATAATCACTCCTCGCATATCGTTAGATATCCCAGTAGCTGTTCGTACAGGACCTCGAAAACTATATCGTCTTAACCCGTAAACAGATTACAGTCAATTTCAAATTTTCTTTGCCTAAGAATGTTGTCTGCAAATTTTGTGCGGCCTTGATTTGCATTCATTTTCGGATAGCGTTTCAAATTCTCGATCTCTAATAGATTATGTGTAACAAATATCTTCTGCCCGGAACCCAATACATATATATTATATATTGGTTAGATCGTGTTTCGTTTAGGGAATATCATTTCATCCGTGGGCGGTGGCTCGCGGTCCTCCATTGTTACTTTGCGAGGGTACAGTAGATTAAAAATTGGTATTTGATGCGGTGAATCGCGGGGATTTTTTTCAAATAAAATCGTATTTCGTCTTATGTTCATTCACATAATTGTTTTTGTTTTATATTCAAATACAGGTAAAATCTAATTTAACCGCGCACTGTATTTGACTATTTATTACACAAGTTTTAGCACATTCGATAATCATTTTCTTCACATGTACTTTCTTTTTATATTTTTTTTGTCTTGTATATCTTTTTATTTTAATATTTCTTATGTTATTCCTTCCGAGATGCATCGCTTTTGTATTGAGAATGCATTTTCAAGCATTGACGATCAAATTATTTATCAAATCCCACCGGTTTCGGAAACTAATTTTCCAATTTTGCGACACATTATAAAATCATCTTTTAGAAATCAAAGGGAATTTTAAATCGCCGACCGCTAAATCAAAATGGACAATGACGTCTGTTGCTAAATTTCGCAACAAAAATATGTGAAAAATCTTATCTTAATCCGACATTTGTTGTCCACAGACGAATTGATACCCAACGGCAATCGAGGTGTTTTCACAAGAAGTTGTCGAGTCGGAGATAGGAGCCAACTGTGCCAGGCCTCAGCCACAAACAGGTAATTGACTTTCCCTAAATAAATGAAAATTGCTGAATAAGTATTACGCACATATGACGATTTTCATTTTTTTATGTAGCGCATTCTCAGTAATTTTCAAACATATCATTATCTAAGACGTGTAATATTCGGCGCTTCAGAAGTATGTGTACCAATATGGAGGTAAATAATTTTGTTCGCCTGCTTTACATCAAGTTGTGTAAAGGGACTGAAACCTATGGACATGGAGTATATTCACTTGGCTAACACAGACAGTCCCGAACTCGTAATAGAACTAAAATGAGAATAATCGTAATAAAATTATGGCCTAACTATAACCTGGTACACACACTACGGGAGTACCTAATATGCCTATGTCGTAGATTGAAACAAAATTATATAAGGCGCATCTTGTATACTACAAAAAAAAATGGAAATTTCAATGGTACGTTTTGATGAAATTATAAATTTAGACATCATATTACCAAGCAATAGCGAAGGTCACGACTTTTCCTAAATTACACTGTCTGCGATTTTGTAATATGATACGTCAAGCGATCATAGTTTACCTTTATTGGTGCTTCGTTTCAGAATTCAAAATAAGTAATGCCCACAAAAAAAGAGAAAAAGAATGCAAAATTACAATAAAATAAAATTTATGTTTGTTCTTAAATTAGATATTTGGATCGAAATAGCTATAGCCTAAATATGTTCACATTTTTTTGCATCTTGATAGATTAATAATTTTTTTAATATATATTTTCAGTGATGAATGTACGGCCAATTCATGCTGCTGGGATCAGTCAACTGAAATCTGCTTCGCACCAACAATCTCATACCAACCATTTGCTACATTTACTGACGGTAAGTAACGGTATTTTGTTACTGTGGTAACCTAGTTAATGCAGAATTACGATACCGGTAACAGGTCAAATTATTGTCAAGTGAGTTTTGGATATCGTAGGCTCCCAAAGATTAGTTCTGTTCATGTAACAATTGCAATTTCTGGCATATTGAAGTGTTATTACATCACTTTAAAGCTTTTATAATCTCGCTTTTTATGTCTTAGATGTAGAAGGGAAAGGTGCCATGCGAGACTGGGTGCCCTTCGATCCGATTGAGGCCCAACAACCACGCGAGGAACCGACTGAACCAACTCAGGAACATGAAATTGTGACGTCATCGACACCAACCAGCGAACTCGTTTATAACGACTTTTCCCTTATAATGTTGTGTCCGGAGACTGTCAATGGAGATTTGTGTGAAAAGGGCGTTACACGGTAAATAAATGAATGGTGTAGCTTGTGGCTTAATCGTGCTGTACTACAATGTATTTAGAGCAGTTTTTTTTTAAATTCAGGGCTCCGTTTCAAAGACTTTTAACACTTCGCGACCCCTGTTCTCCCATAAAAAATAGTTTGAACGCGTCATTTTATTTGCCACGTTTAATAATCACAACAAAAAAAATACATTATGTGCAAAGAATTCAACAAATCACAGTCAACTCACTTTTACTTAATGTAATCATCACAAATGCAACCTAGTAGAGGCATTTGCTTGTGACCCCACAAAAACACTCTGAAGGCTTCTACGGGGACTAGGAGTCCAGTTTGAGAAACACTGATTTATAATATGGTTTCCTTAATTCTTGTTGCATCACGGAAAATTACTGATGATTTTATAAAATCTTAAATTCGGTATAAATTAAAATCTTCTTATCAGACTAATGGCAAATAGATTGTCCATATTCAAACTCTTTAACAAGCGATATACGCAATTCTGTATTTTATACAATTGCATCCGTTGTTAGTCAAATCTAAATATTGCATCGAGATACCATCTACGTCGTTTTATCATTCCGTTGATATAAACAAACTCGGCATGTTTTTCGCAAGTATGATTCGCCCACGGAATGTTGTTCAGGGTGTTCCTTGTTCTGTTAATAACAAATATTTTAGAATGAACTTAGCCGCGGTTAAGATTATTTATTAGTTGTTAAACGTGGCTGAAGGGCCGGTCGGCCAAGAATTTTGAATGATTCTAATTTTGATATGGATTACAATTTTACTATAGACTTATAAAGCATCGCACGATGCATTCACCAAAATTTGTTTTAATTTGGCCCCGGACTTCGAGTTAAAAAAATTCGACTACGAATTCCGACTTCGGGTGGAAAAACTCTGGATTTCGAGTTAGGAAAAATTTCGACTTCGGCACTAACTCCCGAAGAAATCAAATTTTGACAACAAAAACTTTGTCTCATGCAAGGTTCTTCAAACGCTTACTTTTTTCTTTCGCCTATTACCACAAAAAGTCTGAAATTCCGAATCCGGATAGTTTGAAATTATGACTCCAATCAGTCCAATGAAGTCATGCCAAACTCTGACTCCACAGCCTAGTGCAAGACTCTACCATTTTTAACTACCAAATATTTGGAACCCAAATATTCTTCTTACACTAATACTTTTGTTTCAGGCGGTTGTGTATGTCTATGTTCTGTTGCTGGGTTGATGATCCCAAGAAACACGGTAAAGGAACATGCGTCAGACCACAAGTAGATTTGATTGGAAACACGAAAATTACAAAAGGTATGTTTTTGTTTTATTTTACGAAAATGAGGCAATCGAGAAAACTATATATCACAAACGGGGCAATAAATTGTATATAGCTTATTAAGCTAACCGGAACATGTTTTGGAAATTCTAAATTTACTATATCAACTAACATAAGTAATTGCTTTTCTATAGACTCGTTGTGGGTGAATTCACGTAGTGCGTCGTAAACGAGCTATATCCTCATTTTCTATCTTTTTACATACCGCCATAAAATTCCCCCGATTCCAGACTTACAAGTTTTATTTTTATAGAAAACAAATTGGTGGACCTGTATCCTAGTATCCCGTTCGAGGGACCAAATTTTTGGCGTCCGTCTCTTCCCGAAAGAAATTTTGTAAAAGAGGATTCAATAATGACAGTATTTTGTCCTGCTGCAAGCCTCATAAACGGTGGAAATATAGGCCAAACAACATGCGGGAGCGATGAGATTTTCACAAGGTTTGTACATTGATAGTATGTATCTAATAAAACTTACTGCACATGAGTAAACAACGCCAGTTATTTATGGATCGGGTTGATTTAATTAAGAGTCTCGCTGCACACTAACACAGATTCGTTTTTGTTAGTAAATTTAATTGAAAAGACTACAATTATAATAATATTATGTATTTTTATATTATCCAGAGACGAATGTGTTAACAGTGGATGTTGCTGGCGACCTTGGAAAGTATTTGATTCTGATTCTGAATCTCCTTGTCAAGCACCGAAGATAGAACAGAGAAATCTGACAGAAGTTATCAGCAAACATGATTCAAGTTAGTAGATTATTTTTTTAACCTTCAATATAGACTTGCTCAACAAAGGGTTTTTCAATCAGTACTCTATAGTCTATCCCACGCGTGGTAGGAGTCACGGAGAGATTCTACTGAGGCGATGAGCAAATGTCTTGACCAAGTACCACTTGATATGGGGGCCACGGAAAGTTGACAGTGTTTGGAAGGGGGCCGCACATCATGAAAGTTTGGGAACTTCTGGATTAGGCCAGCGGATGTTTTTACTTAACATAAGACTTGGAAGCAGTCCAGAATAAGCCTATTGAATAGAATAAATTACTTCAGTTGAAATAAATTTCGAAAAAATGGAAGTTGTAGGTAAAATATTGTGATTTTTAGAAGTATCACAGAAAATATGTGTTGTTTTCTATCAATTTTTGACCTGCAATTCGTAGAAAATGACCAGTGGCTCTAGGCCAGTTGATCTCAAACTGATCCAAATACTTTCAACACTTGTGGCCAGCTGTTCTTCTACTATAAAAAACACCAAGTTTCATCTTTAATATGTTTCCGTCAGTTATTTTAATTGTTTAATATTAATAACAAACGAAGCAAAGGAATAAATGCATTACAGTCAAGGAATAAAGCAAATCACAGCCAGTTCATTTAAAATTAATGAGGCCACCGTAAATGGTACCCAATGAAGGCCTTTGCTCATGCCCTAAAAGGACCGATCCATGGCCACTTTAGGCCCTAAAAATCTTACACTGTGCCATCACGCTTATATATTTTCTATCCGCCCCCTAACAGTTTTAAAATGCGAATTATTTCTTTCAGTTATATCCACCCTCGTCCAGCCTATGGAATCACGTTGGGGAGAATGGGATGATTGGAGTGTATGCAAAGCTGTTTCACCGTGCTCAGATGAAGGAAGACAATTTCGATCACGGAGATGTGTCTCTCCTGTTGGTGTAATGTTAGATCATGCAGTCGATATTGCTTCTGGATGTGTCGGTGCTGCCTTAGAAGTTAGAACTTGCACGGATTTATTTGATTGTGAAAGCGGACTATGGTCTGAATGGTCACCATGGACCACGTGCTCGGAAACTTGTAAATCTGGGAAAAGTCTTCGAACTAGAACTTGTTATCTTCCAGAAGGTATGGGTTTCTTAATTCTACAATTTTTGACAGAAGAGAAAGTCGAATTTTATTAAAAAAAAATTAGGCGTATGCGAGGCCTTTTTTTAGTAAATGTTATGCTTTTTGAGTCTTTGACGCTAATCCGTTACGCCAGCCTGATTGGGCCACCATAAATAAATTTAATTTTTTATTTTTGTATAGATTGTCCCATCACTCCTTCGTTTGAAGAGAACAGTATTGAAACGGAGAATAAAGTATGCAATACTGAAATGTGTGAAGTTTGGGGCCCATGGATCGGACATGACGATTGCGATGCAGAATGCAAAAGCTTCGGAAATTCGACACGATTCAGATTGTGTGAAAAGTTTGCCTACACGGTAATGTACATATTTTATACGTTATATTTTATATTCACAATTTTTTTAATTACAATAATTTTCACCTCGTTATTTTTTCGTTATAAACCTCGACGATTTTCATTAAATTCTATCAGTTTTCGCCAATTTTAATTTTATTCAATTTCTTTTACAGAAAGGACGAATTGCCAGCACTCAAGTCATTATTCTTAAATCCCTTCCTATGTACGACTTGAAAGCATTAGCATCGTCTCAGCCAGAAGCGTTTGCAGTTCATGCGGAGGAATGCCTGCTACAAACAACACAATGCTTTAACAACAGAGACTGCGTTTATATCTGGGGTGAATGGGGTAACTGGACCCAATGTGATAGCAAATGCACACCAGGAAAACAAAGCCGTGAGCGACCGTGTTTGAAACTCTCTCCACAAATTGGTCCCGTAGAAGTACCGGCCACGTTTTGCGCTAGAGATCTTGGTGAATCCCAAATGCAAGAGATCACCTGTGAAGGCGAAAGATGTAAGGAATGGGATAACTGGTTTATTGCAGAAAAATGTAACGCTGACTGCGACGGCGTCGGAATGTTACGTAAAGCTCGACTCTGTAAGCGCGGAGATTTTAATCCCACAATTCATCCTAGGGAATGCTATAGAATAGATGAAAAATGTACTGGACGTCGATGTCCCAGAGTACAATGGGGTTTATGGGGCCCGTGGTCTGATTGCAGTACTAGTTGTACACCCGGTATCACCACCCGCGCAAGAAGGTGCATGGATACACAAGGCATCGAAGCTGAGCCTGATCTCTGTGGAGGAAACGCTTTGGAAGTTGTACAATGCAATGAAAATTTTTGTGAAGTATGGGGCGAATGGCAACAAGAAGAATGCCAGGGTCGATGCGGTGGGCGGGGTTTAAAAACCACCCGGCGAATATGTTCAGACGGCGGTGCTGCCAATGACGTACTTGCAAATTTTTTGACTATAAAAATTCCAGAATCGTGTCACACTAAAACAGAAAAATGTATTCGCGCGTGTACAGCCCAATGGGGAGAATGGAGTAAATGGTCGAAATGCTCTAGAAACTGTTCCCCGGGAACAAGCTCACGAACTCGGGAATGTCAACTTGAAGACGGTACTAAACAAAATTCAATGGATTGTCCCGGAGGTGAAATACAGTCCTTCGAAAAAAGAGATTGCAACGTCGGTATGTGTGAAGATTGGAACAAATGGGATAAGGGCAAATGCACTGGAACGTGTAGAAAAGCGGGAACGCAGCCGGCACAAAGAACATGCGTTGGACGTGACGATACTTGGCTTGTAACTACTTATGCACAAAATCCGAATTGTTATAATAGAAATACACGATGCAGACCAAGATGCGCTAGATGGGGCGGTTGGGGCACATTTGGACCATGTAACGACAAATGTAGTCCAGGTAAAAGGTCTCGGCGACGATTATGTCTCAGAAATGGTAAACCCGTTGACGAATCGGAATGTACTACGAACCCTGGTAAAATCGTCGAATATGCGAACTGCAACATGAAACTATGCTCGTCCTATGGTCCTTGGAAAGAAAATTACAAATGCGATGGAATATGCGGAGAAGATAATGCTACCAGAGAACGAAAACGGGATTGTTATTCAGGAATAGCACCAGAACAATGCCTCGTAGATCGAATACCATGTCGACCTCGATGCGGTCCAGGGTGGGGACCATGGACCGAATGGTCTGACTGCAGTGATAAATGCGCACCAGGAATTAGGAACAGAACAAGAATTTGTTACAATGGAGATGAAACTATCGATCCTGCCGAATGCATGAAAGTTAAGAAAAACGGCTTGGGTGGTGCCATTGAAACTGAAGATTGTAATGTTGGGTCTTGTCCAAGTTGGGCTCCATGGCAACAACATCTGTGCGTCGCGGAATGTAACGTCACCGCCGTGGCAAGAAGAATTCGAATCTGTTTGGAACCTGTTACAGGTTACGTTCCAAACGAATGCCGAAATGATTACGTACAATGTCTTGGTAAATGTATAGCTACGTGGGACGATTGGACACCTTGGTCGCCGTGTTCTTTATCATGTGGTCCCGGTAAACAAACATCAGTTAGAAGATGTTCTATGAACGGTATTAGCGTCGATCCAAATTATTGTGAAGAGGGAAATAAAACACCTAAAACTTTACGTATAAAAAAATGTCATGCAACCATGTGCGACAGTTGGAGTAGATGGCGGACGGGACCATGTGCTGTACAATGTGGGGGAGCTGGAATATCAGTACGCGAAAGAAAATGCTTAGGAAAAGGTACGTTATCGACCCCAGAACAGCCTACAGAAACCGCTTGTTACAGAAAAGAAGTGCTTTGTGGTACGGACCCCTGCCCTAATAAATACGCACCGTGGGGTGATTGGTCTGAATGTTCAAGTCTTTGTTCGCCTGGTACAATGAGACGCACAAGAAAATGTCTTACTCAAGGCCTTAAATTTGGAGATTGCCAAGCTTTAGGTCCCGCATTGGAAACAAGAAAATGTAACAAATATTCGTGCAGAATTTGGAAACCTTGGGAATACGAAAAGAAATGTGTCGTTTCAGCTGGTCAAAACGTACGAAATCGTCGAAGAGAATGTTCATATAGTATCGCAGGACCTTTAGGTAGAACACATCCAAAGCATTGTTTTGAAGGCCAGGTGTCATGTGCTTTTGCCAGCGCCTAAATATGGGACAAATACAGCCACTTATTTGCATGGATGTATGAAGTATAAATCGTGAATTGAAATTCTACTGGAGTCCATTTTATTCTATTATGAAACCCACTGTTAAACCTTTAGATCATACTTGCAAATATTCCTGCGGAGACGGCGACCAAAATGTACCGACGTGAATGACGCTTCCTAACTAATCAGTTAGTTCCATTTCGGTTTCTCTGTACCAGATGAGCACGAAGTCTTCACTTGGATGGAATCTCTTAACAAACTGAGAAAAATGCTCAAATATATGAACACAAAGCCTCCCCTTTCCTTCTAAGCCAAGAGGAGCCGTCGTACAGCAGTATCCAATCTCACCATATCACGAAACGGTTACCAATATGTTTGCTGTACAATTTAGAAAAAAGTAAGAGTTTTGTGACTCACATCCTCTTTATCCTTTACCGATCTCTTAACAAAATTCACCAAATTAACACAAAAGTAATTAATCAACGTAACAACCACATTGTTAAAAATAGGCTTTGTTTTAGAAGCGCGTGTAACTAACTAGTTTCATAATTAATTTGGTAACATTCTTCCCGCTGATATTGATTTAAATTGACACTAATTTTATATTCAAAAAAAAATAATTCTAATTTCAACTTATTTCCCTTTCCAACTGAACATTACTAACTGGGAAATGTTAGCTAAATTTATTGCCAAATTTTATGAATTCAACGTATTTTCTTATTATATCGATAGTTTTGTTCCGATACTTTCTGCTTGTACATCTTTCCTACAGCAATATAGTTCAGTGTTTTATTGACATTTTTGATACTTTTTGTATATATTCCGAGAAGCGATGCCAATATTTATGTTTAGAAAAAATCTTGCCAATCTAATTTTTCAGTTGTGCAATTTTCCATGACTCGATGTTCTTATTACATACATATCTATACTATATATAAATGCATGGATCATTGTAAATTAATTCTCTCTACTAAACGTGGTTGTACATTAGCATTATAGCTAGACACTATTTTCATGAAATTTTTATTGAAAATAAATACAAATTTATTAAAATCCTTCTGATGGAGTTGAAAAGGAATGAAAATTTTGTTAAGGAAAATATCGTTTGATGAATAACTATGCTTGGAAACAGGTAGTGATTTGTGGGGCGCTCCAGAAGTGTGTGCCAGTATGGAGGTGACTAATTTTGTTCGCCTATCTTACATCAAGTTTTATGAAGGGACTGAAACCTATGGGCAGGGGGTATATTCACTTGGCTAACACAGACGGTCCTCAAACTCGTAATAGAACTGAAATACGGAACATCGGAATGAAATTATACCCTGGTACACACACTACGGGAGTACCATTTCTTCTGTGTGATCCGACCGCAGTTGTACTATGCAAACTTAACTCGAATTGAGTTGCAAATATCAGATAACTTGTTTTAAAACACACTCCATGACAATGAAACTTGAATCGGTACTCCCGTAGTATATGTACCAGGTTAGGTTAGGCCATAATTTTATTCCGACTTTCCTTATTTCAGTTCTATTACAAGTTCTGGGACTGTCTGTGTTAGCCAAGTGAATATGCCCCCTGCCCATAGGTTTCCATCCCTTTGCACAACTCGATGTAAAGTAGGCGAACAAAATTAGTTACCTCCATATTGGTAAAAACACTTCTGGAGCGCCTTGAATCTACTTGGATTCTCGCCCTGATGATCCCCCAATTCTGGCATCTGGGTTTCAACCGAATAAATCAAGTCCCGAACTTCAACAACAATTCTAGTATCTGTGTTGCCACATTTATTTATTCTTGAGATTCAATGAAAAACGTCATCATAGTCATTATTACAGAACAAATAGTTTAGATGAACAAAAGAGAAATGGAATATTGAAAAATTCAATCGATTGGATGTAATTTAATATAATAACATTATTATCAATAATAGCATAGTAATATAATAATAATAATAAACAATCTCGTTGTGACGTCATGATGATTAGAAACAAATCATCCGAAATCAGGCATTGAAACCAAAATTTATTGCCAAACCAAGTTCGATCATGTAAGATTCAGACAAAAATCAATGACGCCGACATATTTTTATGAGTTGCTAAGTTTCGCTCAGAAAAAAGGCCGCGGGTAGCAGTCATTAATAACTAGGAACCTACTATTTTCAAAGACCCGGAATATTTCCCGTGTAACATAGCCAACTTGCTCGCTTCAGACAACGCCCATACCAGAGTTAAAATGAAAGCAATATTACTTGGCTTGCTCTCAAGTAGGCTATAACAAGCAGTCACTTATGTGCTATCTCCAACGTACTCTACAAAAGCATTTTGGACGAGTAAATAGAATAAATCTAAACAAAATCATTTTTATGATCGAAATAATTCGGCAATAAATTCTGTTTATTGACAAATAATGAAGTCTTGAAGAATCTGGGATAAAGTTATTTGCTTCAACTGTGAACATTATAGGAATAATACGATGAATTAAAAAAAATAATATTGAGATAAAAAAAACAGGAATTATTGATAAATTTCTATATAGGAAACATTTTATAAAGTGTCCAATTCATATATTATTGGTGAATTTTCCAAGTTTTATTCCAATCCATTTTGAAAGAAGATTTAATCAGCCCAATATTGTCCATACTTTATGAAATTTATTTTTTCGTTCGGAACTGTCCCCCTTCTTGGGGAACCCATATCCGTTTTGGGGCGCCTAGGAGGTTTCACGGGGGCTATTTTCTTTCTAGGTACTGGTATTGGAATGTTTTCAATTTCATCGTTGACAAAAGTAACTGGTCCGCTTTGTAAATCCAAAATAGGTGATCCGCAGCGAGGTGAACTTCCAGGAGAGGGCGTACGTAATTGTCGAGTTAGTACAGCGGTGCATCGGTCACCATAGAGACGGATGACGTCATGATACGTAGATAATCGTCGTCGATGTGGCGATATCTAAGAAGGTATATGTAAAATTCACCATTTCAAGGAAAATTTGAATTTTTAGAACAGAAATGTTCTTGCTTATACATGCAAATAAAAAAATGCTAATCATAAAAAATGAAGGAAAAATAAAAAAAAATACGCGTCGCTCAATTGCAAATTGTCATATGTTTCAATTACAAAATTGAAAAGCACGGTTAGAAGAAGGCAATCAGGTAGGTGATTTTGGAAAATTTTTTTTTTTAACAAATTTTTTCAGCAAGAGAGCAATACTTAAATACTGTATATGAGCACAAAGATTGCGCAAAGCAGAGAACACTGAGTTTAAGCAAATAAATAAAAGTAAGGGATTTCTTCCATCTTCGAGTACTGAAAAATTGAAATTAAATAGTCCATTATTTCAGGAAAAGGGCGATCGATTTTTTCTCAATAACAACAAAGTTTTAGCAAAACAATCCATGACCAGCAATGGGGCGATAAGAATACAGAATACCAATATCTTTATGTTGGGCCAAAGACGAACCACGCATAAATATGGAAAATTACAAAATTGTGTTTCAAATTTCATGAATATAATTTTGATAGTGACCCTTTTCATTTTTAATGCAAAATGTACTTACACATTGTTACAATATATATTCATATCATAAAATCATATTTATTGCGGCCTCTTTTTGCGCAAAACATTCGATAATTCGTCTTGCAGTTGGATTCCAAGCCCGGCTCGTTGCTGTGAAATAAAAACAAGGAAATATCTGTAAATATTATAAACATACGACGAGTGAATCCCGCTTTCAGGTAATTCATTGAACCAAAAATTGAATTGAAAATTGAAACATCTGTGAATACCATAAGCATACAGGCGATTCCCCATCCCAGTTAATTCATTGAACCAAAAAAGTAAAAATTGAATTTCCACGTGAACCAATTCCAAAAAAAGTGATTTAGAATTAATTTGGGATTCAGCATATATCTTGTGATAAAAATTTTCCTAAAAACGTGAAAAAAACATTTTTCCATTTTAATGGAGTGCTAGCTACAACAAACAGATGGCCAATATTTCAATTCATTAATGTAGTAATAGATTATGAGGTCACAATTTTAAACACAAATCCAGCATAATCCTTGAATGCGAATGCGAGATTGTGACGTCACAATTTTAGACACCAGTCCAGAATAATCCTTGAATGCAATACTGCAAAAAGCTCTATTCTAATAAGTCAAAGCTATTTTGAACCTAAAACATGACCATATAAATATATTATTAACCTGATTTCTTGGATCAGCCGGTGAGAGCGGATAATGTAACCCTGGCCTTCGTGCGTGCAGATCGGCAGCTCCTAGGCTACCAGGTCGATGCGGAAGATCCATTGATCCAGCGCTGTGATCCCTGCTTCGTGGAAAATCGTAGACATCTTCCAAGGCAACTCCAGAGTCTGTTTCCAAAGGTGCGTCTTCCAGAATGACAGGGCTAGGGCTATTCGCTCCCTTTAATTAACCATGCAGCAACGAGCAAATCAAAAGGCAATAATTAGTGAATTAGCAATGGAGATACATGCAGATATTGCGGTGCGATAAATATAATGTGATTTAGGCATTCGGTTTTTATAGTAAGTGAATTGAGTTACGTTAAATATGTAGATTATTTAACGTAATTTCATGAAACCACTTGATTTAGTACATTTTCGTTCGGTAAATTTCATTCTTTGAATTTTAAATCAATTTTGTAACCAAATTTAAAATTTATCCCGACAAATTATTCATCAATCAATGCAAAGGCATCTAAATTCGTCGCTATAAAACAAATATAATAAAAAACAACAATAATTGCATATATTAAAGATATACTGTTGATATCAACAATAAACACTAAGAAAAAATTAGATATTGGGGGTTTGCTCCGATATCGAGTTATTGTTAATGGTGCAATAAACAATTGTAGAATTAGATTTAATTTTAGAACAAAATGTTCAACAAATTCGTAGTTGTAATTACGAATAATTGAACTGGTGTAATTACACAAATAATTGTAAATCATTTCTGATTAAATGATTAAGTAATTGTGACAATTTGGATGATTGTGCTTGCTAGCAATCGTATTCATCGAACCCCGCCCAATGCGAATTACTATGGACATTTTTTCCTAACCGATCTGGGACTGTGTTAGACCGCATAAATCTTTGTCTTCTAGACTGCAATGTAAAATTTCATGACGTCATAAATGGCATATTCGGAAACGTCACGTTAAGTGATGCTTGAAATTATTAATTTTATTATACCTGAGGAGAAGTGGTCAAATTTGCTGGACTCGAAGAACCGTGGTCTAGAAATCTCTCTCTGAAACTGCCAGTACTCTCGTTTGAAGACGTTCGTCTAACACTGGCAACTTTTGCAGCAACTTGAGCCCCAAGGTCTTGCTGAGAAATTGATCCGTATGGACTCCTAAGAATAATAAAAAAAAAATGTATATTTTACAATAAAATTTACAAAAAAAATTTATTAAAAAATTATCAAATATCATATTCTTGATATCTATATGACGTTGCATATCTAGAGTTAAATTATATTTTGATCAATGTGAACACGTAATTTTTCCGTGTAGAACAAAAACTCACCTGGTAATGGACGAATTTCTCGATTCCGTGTCTTCTACTGACTTAGCAGGTGAATTTTCTTGAGTGACAGGCGGAGTAAAACCTTCCGGATGCTAAATTACAATAACAAATCATTAACCAGTTTGCTTTTAGTCTGCATTTTGACAATCATAATCGAATACCGTCCCCAAGCACATTGCTTCAGTCATTTAAATTATAGCAGTAGAAGTAAAAAGGCTGATGTTCTATGTTTTACGTTTTAATCAAACTTGTCACCTACATAAAAAGCATAGTAGTGGAAGCGCTGCCACTAATTAAGTTACCCAAGGCCAATGCCAACTTTCTTGCACAGTGTTTAAAAATTAGGAATGCAATGCTGTATCGAAAATCAGGTCATTCATGAAAATTGTAGCTGTTTGTGTATCAGTTCTTCAAGATTTTGAAACGCTTTCTATAGGAAGCCTATAGAACAGTCTACGGAACTTCGAAGTTGCAGTCGTAGTCGAGTTTTTTACAACCCGGAGTCGGAAATCGAAATCGGGTATCAAATTTTTTTTCAAACTGGTTACATGAGCCGATTGTAAGTTTTCTCAGACTTTACAGCTGTGCTCCTACTTTATTTTACAAATTACCAACAATTACATCAGTATTTCCGGTTTTGATAGTGACAACCACCAAACGATAGACAGTTACGTTCACTATTATGTCACGAACGTAAATGTTTGATTAGCCTACATGTATTCACATACCATGCTGATTAACATATTTGATATCCATCGATACAATTCTCCTTCTGTTTCAGCGATAAAATGTTTGAATGGTTCTCCTGCACGATGAATAGTGAAGCCTTGTTTCCTATAAAAAGTAAAAGATATATTTTAGTGTTGGGTAGAAGATCCTAAACTCGAGTCACGAGTCAAGTAGAGTCACGGATCATCCGAGTCGAGCCAAACACTGAGTTAGGTCTCAGTGACGGTCAGTTGAGTTGAGTTCGTGTCATTTCGATTAAAAAGAATTCTCTGGACTATCTACCGCAGGTCAAAAATTAGATTTTTCTCTTACGGTGTTCCAGGTGGTTTTGTTTTCTTGTCAACTCCAACATAAACGTTGAATGTGCTGATGTCCATTGTTACTGAGGGTTTTGATGGAGCCTGGAATATCAGATTTTTATCCAATAAATAAACGATTATGATTCAAGATCAGTATAATAAATGATAGGTAACGCATAATATTCTAGGGTTTGAATGGGTTTCCAAATATAAGGTAGGCTAGTCCACTAGAAATATGTTTTACTGATATTATATAGTCTGAAATTGAGTAATACAATTTAAATGGGTTACATTTTCAAATATATTGTCTTTATTTATATTCCAATTTACAATACATTTATGGTTCGAAAATCAAATTCGTCAAATTTAGAAATTTTTGAAAGTTGAACTATGGGATACGATAGACAACGCCGCCGAATCCAAATTGCACAAAAAGACTGAATAAAATCTACTTTAAAATACACGTAACAAAAAGCTACAGATTGAAATTGATTCGAAAAGTTAGTCTAAACAGTCTAAAAACAAAAGTAAAAATCATAATGTTATAAAAATTAAAATGAAATGATAACTTTAAAACGGATTGTGATGCAAGAATGCGTGCAGGAGAAAAAAATAAAATAAAAAACAAACGACTTCACAATAGGGAAGTCTTAATAAGTACAATTTCATTACAAAGCTCGTCTTATCTTAACCAGGCAGCATGGCAAACTTATAATTTCACACATCAAACGCCAACACCAATTTATCTTCGGATTAGGCCCGGTTGAGCCTTGATATTTAGAGAAAAGTCGAATAGCTCCACCGTGCGTAAACCTACGATAAATTTTTGGCGGGAAAATTATAAACATCGTTTCGTTTACGTCCGAATTATTGCCGATCCATCCAATCAATTTGCTCTTAGTTTTGATCGAGCGCCTCCTTCTGTGCGCATTGGCTAACTCTCGTAAGTCCAGATTCATTGTATCAGGAGAATTCTGGTGATTTAATAAGGATAACAAAATGGATATAAAACTCGATGCAGAGAATGGAAAGACAAGCAAGTGAAATCCATATTCCGAAAACCTTCATTTTGGAAATTCCCGTGTGATATACCATTATCCTATTCATCTCCACTGTACGTTATAATCACAGTTGGGGATTCAGGACAAATTCACTCCTGATTCGGGTTTCGACTCACTACTCCGGCTCCGAATCCGGTTCTGACTCACCACTCGAGTTGACAAACAAACCCGATTAAAGGTAATTTTGACTCCGTCTACAACCTCAAACGATGAGAAAGCCAAATATTGATAACAAAATTTTGTTGACTTGATGCATTTTAAGTCTCCATCGGAGTTTCGACTCCGACTCCGGAAAATTTAAAAATTTCGACTCCGGTTACGACTCCCATTTCCGGGTTGTTTATAAATATAAATTTTGTCTCCAAATCCCAATAAAAATATATCAAACACCTTCGTTTGCTAGAAGTCACTAAATTCCGAGTCGCAAATCATGTCGAGTCACGGGTGTTCCTAGTCTCGAGTCACTCCCCCCCCCCCCTCCCCCCAAAAAAAAACACTACGGAACACCGACTCCCGATAGCTCTCTTTATGAATTATTCTCTAATTTTGTAATATCGGTGCATATAGGTTAAATATGGAAAAAGAAGTAAAAAATATCCAAAGCTGTTTGAGCCTGGTGCAAGCAAATCAATGACAATTATTTTGAGATATGCGGCAAGCAGCAAACTCAAGTAAAAGATTTTTATTATTTACAATTAATTCTGTTAAAGACGATAAAAAGGGAAATTTCTAATTACAAAATTCTATCAGTGCACGGAAATTCTTGCGCTAGCAAAAATTTATTTAGCTTTAAATAGAAATAAACAAAAATCTCGTACCACACTCATACCTTAGAATATTTGAAATAGATTGTTTTGTCATCCAAGTTTCTGGCGATGCATCCCGTAACTTTCGACCATTTCTTTTTGCCTTCATAAAGTCGCAGTTGACCTTCCATGATAGTTTTAACGTCATTTGAAGCGGCCTGTAACGTAAAATAATGAGAAAAATAGGACAAAATAAGTAAAGTCCGTTGAAAAAAAGAAAATTCAGAAAATTACAAATTAAGAAGGTAAATTCCAAAAATTGTTCTATAAATATTATAAATTTCAAAAGCCACTGGAACTAATTTTAAGACATCTGTAATACGTCATCAGAATTATGACGTCATATCTCACCTGTTTAAACCACCTCATCTTATCTCGAATGTAGTCGTTTTTAGCGAGTAGAAAATTCGTTGAAGGGATATCCCACGATTTTATTACACTCAGTACGTGCTCACTAAAATGGAGAGGTCGTTCTCCCTCGCCGTCCATGATGACTTCATACAGCCCCCATTTATCAGCTGGGTAACCATGGGCCTTGCATACTTTTGTTATAAGATCGCCTGCTGTTAGATTGACCTGTACGATTCAAAATTAGGTTAAATATAACTTGCATTTTAAGGTAAATTTTAAAAAATATTATATTTCCAGATCAATTACCTTATAATTTACGCATCTATCCTCCCGTCTGCTGATGTATATAGGCGCCATCATATCATAATCCATTGTAGTCAGCTGAAAAAAGGCGGGAAATGATAACTTTGGATTCAAACTGACCAATAGGAAGTCGAAAAGCGATATTGTTGTTTGAATGTAGAAAACTGTGAAGGATGGCTTCATTTGAACGTTTTAAATTGATACATAGGTATATTTTAGCTAATGTAAAGATTATTAAAATACTTACAGAAACATCTTTTTGTCATAAAATAAAATTTAATTTAAGCTTGGTTTAATAATATTCAAGCTAGGTTATTTTTGAAAAAAACTGAAAACTATTCGACAGAAATGGGATCCTACCATATTTTGTTGCATTGTTGCTTGGTTGATCTTTTCTTTGGCTTGTTGCATTCGTCGTTCTTTTTCGCGATCGGTATCCGTCACCTGAATGGAAAACGTAGTTTGAAAATGTAAAAAAATCCATTTACTCTCACAAATTATAACCTCCCCCCCCCCTCATTCACACACGTACTCTCTCACGAACTCACTAATTGATTCTTTCATAATAGTATTTTTTAACTTCCAAAAGTGCTTCAATCACCCACCTACTCACTAACAACTCACTCACTCACTCATTTTCTTTCAGACTATATTCAGCTTCTTTCTCACTACCCACAGATAGAATTTAAAACACTCAACCAAAAAATTACTTACATCGAATAACCAATCATAGAAGTTGAGTAGGTCCTCAATGCAAGCAATTTCTTGAGAAGTCTGTCCTAAATATTTATCTCCAGATCCTTCCTCATCTTGAGGTTCGAGAAGAGTAGGTCCAAAAACGATTGCGAGGTTGTGAATGGACATCTCGTTCTCTTTTTCGTGATCGGACACACTAAAAAGGCGGGAAAATTTAAAAATAATTCAACCAATGAAATTGAAACTTGTACGCAAGTTAACCCTTACAATAATATGAAATATGGTCCAAACTCGACTAGTTTTGAATGTTTAAATAACATTATATGATAGTTCTGTTATTATGTCTTAATCAAGAATGGAAAATGAATAATAAAGTCTTACGTTTTCAAATGCATAAGAAGAACTTTCAGTGTCACTCGATTAATATCCGGTAATTTTTCGACAAGATGTTTATACCATTCCAATTTCCTATTATGATGCTCTTGTTGGATTTCTGTAAAAATGGTTTGATAGTGACGTCATAATTTGTTATAATAGGTAACAATTACAAGTGATGACGTCATACAACTTACGTGCAGTTTCAATCCATTGGTCGTGCAAATGTTCCGTAAGGAGAGAGCCGGGTAAGGATTTGAACCAACGTTTTAGTGCGTTGGCTACGTCGTGCACGTTCATTTGACCTTCACGCATTTGCGTCTCTCTTGCGTTCAGACGAAAATCGCTCAAGAGTTGCGTCGTTTTGCTGTGCGTGCCACTGAGACGATATATACCACGCATAGCAATACCTGGAGTACAGTTTCGAAAGAGGAATGTTTACTTTGTATTTTATGTGGTTTTACTAATATTCTTTCGTTATTTAGTTTTATCATAATACATATTTTTGAATACATTATGAACTATTCACACTATGCGAAAGCGTCGATAAAAAATAGGCAACTAAAACCTAAAAAGAACGACGCGAAGTAAATGGAATCGCGGAAAAAATTCATGTATGAAAAATTTCGTGTATGAAAATCACCACCATTGTTACGTCATTATGACAAGCTAAATTCAATTAAAGGTTTTCATCTTACCGAATTGTTCAACGTATGTTATGCATTTTTCCAATACAACAGGAACGCCTTCTGTTGTTAGTTGTTTTTCTTCTAGTCTCGCTCCCGATTCATTGTCCGACCGTCGTATCGCTGCTAACCACGATTCACTGTCAGGTCTTGTGTCCGATTGAATATAATATGATCTATATAAGAGAATAAAATTTATTATTAAAGTGATCTTTATCGAGGCATTATTATGTAACAATCACATACTGCTATATTGCAGTCAAGTGCGATACCGTTTCAAGTGTCAATACCGGTAAATAGATGGGTAGTGTGTGTACTAGATTAGGGTTAGGCCATAATTTGATTCCAATTTTCTTTATTTTAGTTCTATTACGAGTTCGGGGACTGTCTGTGTTAGCCAAGTGAATATACCCCCTGCCCGTAGGTTTCAGTCCCTTTACTCAACTTTATGTAAAGTAGGCGAACAAAATTAGTTACCTTCATATTGGTACACACACTTCTGGAGCGCCAATAGATGTACAGTGAAAACAGTAAAATATACCTCAAGTGGAGAAAAAATTTCAAACACTTACTTATCCCGAAACACCAACATAACGACAGGGTTCAAGTCTTTGTTCTGAATACCGTTGGTTGGGTTGGAAGTAACTTCGCGAGTTTGGTCCACAGCTGTAAATAAGAATAAATATTATCTCAGCAAGGAAATTTATCACCAATGCATCGCCAAATGAGGGCGATTCGCGATAAGAGCTACATGGTTGTGGTTTATGTGGGACCAAGTTATAATTAGTATGTATATAGCTAACGTAGGCAAACTACGGCCCTAACGTAGGCAAACTACTACCAAATTCAATCTGGCCCGCCTGATGCTGCCACAACCAAACTGAAACCAAATCTTGATCTCTCAGCTAAAAAAATAGCACGAGGCATTTGTTGAAATTGCGATTAAATTTAGTTTTGGCACGAGGCTCATTCTTTTCCACTTTTGCTTTTGTAACACTGTAAATATTGTTCATAAAATCTCATTTTGTATGTCACACCTACGTGGCCGGCCAGTCTAGATGGGCAAAATTTTTGACTCCTTGTCCAAAAAACTTGTATAGTGTATACTTATGCCCAAGAACGGCAAAAACGGCAAAATTTTTTGACTCCTTGTCCAAAAAACTTGTATAGTGTATACTTATGCCCAAGAACGGCAAAAACAAAATCTCTTTAAATCACCATAATATGCAATGTATAAAATCTGACGAGATGAGGTAAAATAAATTAAGGAATCGCATCTTATTATTGATAATCTTTCCGGGTATACATGGGAATGGAAAAATACAAATATTTTACTGATTTGAACTAATTTTCTAAGGTCGATTGTCTCCAATGATCTTGATTCGTTGTGAAAATACTCCAACTTCTTTTTGCGTAGACGACACCAAGTAAGAGACCATTGCTAAAATATAGAAATAGAAATTGAGCATCGGTTATGTTACAAAGAAATCAAATTTAGCTAAGTATGAAATAATTCCGGATCAAACAAGAATTCATATAAATAAATAACGTTTAAATTGTCCCTGTGCTCACAATCTTACGTGCCGCAAAATTTATGAAAAAAACATATATTTAAATCTAACTGAAATTTTTTTTCTGAAATTTTTTTTGTTCTATCATCTGTGGCAATCTAAAAAAATGAAAAAAAAATCTAAATTTCCTATTAAAATGAGCAAATTTTGCAGAAAAAAAACGTAATGATCCTGTTTGTTATGCATCTCTTATCTCTAATATAATAAATAAAACAAAGTCCAATATCTCACCGTGTCTGCTTTTGACCATAATTTTGCTTTGATTCTGACTTTTCCTATTCTTTCATATTCATCTTCTGTTTGCATAGCATCCTAATAAAATAAATATCAATTTTGTTTATTGTAAGAATACAATTAGGCTTAGGTTCTAAGATCTGCTCTTCTCAGGAGTTTATCAGAGAAATATAGTCGTTTGCCGCCCCAAAGAAGAAGCAAAAGGCCAATCTGAATTGGGCAAATTTACACATTAATAATTTCTAATCAGAAATGTGCTCAAAATGATACAATGTCAAGTTGGAACAGAGAGTAACCAGCGGTGCCAACTGAGTTAAAGTTTAAAAAAAAAGGTTTAGAAGCAATAAAAATATTGATCCAAAAAGCACACTCGTACAGACATCTCAAACCAAGAATTCATTTAAATGCGAGTTATATTTACGCTTTTAGGTAAAAGTATTTACATCAACATACAAGATTCCACTTACTTGAATATAAGGAGGAACAATGGCTTGTAATAAACCTCGTGTCCATCGTATTCTTGTGTCTTCTCGATCGGCGCAAAATAAATATGTTCTACCGGACGATCGCGACAATTCAAAACAATGTTTATACCTGGAAAAATGAGAATAATAATATTATTATTTTCTTTTTCTGTATTTTAGGCAAATAACAATCATTTTAGTTCATAACGTTGGATAAAATTTTTTGGTGCTCCTGAAGTATGCGCACCAAGATATCGCACAACCTGAACCCTTCTGGTACACAACCAGAGTTCAGGTTGTGCGTCATCTTGGTACGCATACTTCAGGAGGTCCAATTTTTTTTCTGTATTGTATTTCAAGCAGATGTTTATATTTAGGTAGATATTGAATTTTTGTAGGAAATATTTCCCAGTTCTTTATAGCTCAATTCTATAACTCTACACCAGGGTTTACAAAACTAGACCCTACGCCTTCATTCTTTCCTAGGAGTTTTTATATTAATAAAAGCAAAGTAAAAATGAATTACAAAACTATTAGCGCTAACGCGAATCTGCCATGAGCATCTATTCATTTTATGATGACAGCACAACACGATTTAAAAAAAAACTCGCTCTATAGACGCGTTTTCGATATGACCGACACTTGGAACAGTGTACAAAATAATAATACAGTAAATCAAGAATTGCATACCCTGCTTTGACGGCTTGCTCAGGTGTATGGACTGTGATGCTGATTAAGTCATTGCACGAGACAAAATCTTTTACAACGCTTGTTTTTTCTGGGTCACAATATTTTAGTGTGTTGTTTTCCAGGACGCAGAGACGCTTTTGAAAATCTGAAACACAAATCATCAAAGATTTAGCAAACTATAAAAAATATACTGTTATTTTAGAGTAAATCGCCATTTTTGTCGTGAAACTCTCACCTCCTGGCTGCAATGCTGATTTAATAAGATTTAGTTTTCCTTTAGTTTTAGGCTCTTCTCCGGAATTTTTAAAATCTCCGCCATATTTGAATAAACAATCTCGTAAACATACTGGAGGTCTTGCGCGCGTCTTTGGAATTGAATTTTTCTTTCGAACGCTTGTATTCTATCAAATAAAATGGAACAATTTGATAAAGCTATTTATTTATAAAGAATAAGATACTGGAATAGACTTGGAGCCTATACAATACTGTTAAAATCGATCAGCTTTCAAATTAAGGCAAGGTTCGAAAGTTCAACTTGACAAGCTGGCAATTAGACACATGCATTAGCTTGGTCATTAGCCCTTTCATTGTAAAGAAAATTTATGATGTCCGGAATTTTTAATAAAAATTTAGTTGACCTAGGATTTTTTTGACGCTGAAAATGGACCAACTGACCACTGTCATATAAAAGCTCAATGAAAGTCTTTAGGCATTCACTTACGCTTTGGAAGATAATATATCCTGGCAACTAGCATATTGTCAGTTATTGCACCCTTATGTGGTACACATAAGCAGACACCCAAGCTAGCATTATAAAATGTAAACTCATTTGAAGCACTTACCCTTTGCGTGATGTGACCTTCTGGACTAATCGTGTCCGTTCCACCATTTTGCCGCAAAAATTCCTGTAATTCAAAATTAAATTTTGTAGTTGTCGTGCGTTCAAGAAGGCTATGATAAAAACGCAGACAGTATATAGTGATTTGCATAGTATTCGAGTGGTGATAAACAACAGGCTACTATTTTTTCAGCATCCAATTTATTATATCCTTGGTGAAATAGTGATGTGCACGGGATTTGAGGCAGAGATGTGCAATCTATGCTGTCAACACAGTTAAGTATATTCACTACATAATTATCATTTCGTTTTTATTCGGCAAGTCACTTACAAAGCACACACTCGCAATTTTTAAAATTATCAAATATCTTAACTAAGAACTTACGGCTAAGGTAGTATAGGTGAGATGTTCTGCCAATAGTTGAGCTGTGAAAAATATAGACTTGATAAAAAACATCGGTCAATTTAAGTCTGTTTAGTGACATATACATCTGAAAAGCCAGAATTGGGCGCTGCTGTAGTGTGAGGTCTGCCATTGTATATCGCCTACCCAGGTTAGAGTTGGCGTTAGAAATGAGTGATACACATTAGAGATGGAAAGTGCAATGGTAGGTCTCACACTATAGCACTAACTTGAAGCAGACCTTACGCTGTAGTGTGGTAGAGAACACGATATAGTAGCACCCAACATTGTATACAATACAGTATATGTAAGCACTAGAAATATCACGTATGGGGTTAGGGAAATAGCTGTTTTTATGATTCATTTATATGGCAACTAATAGCTTTCGTGGGGCGAGACATTCAAATAGCAATAGGGTACATAATATTGGGTGCTCCAGATATGTGTGTACCAATATGGAGGTAACTAATTTTGTTAGCCTACTTTACATCAAGTTGTGCAAAGGGACTGAAACCTATGGGCAGTGAGTATATTCACTTGGCTAACACAGACAGTCCTCAGTCCTTGTAATAGAACTAAAATCGAAAAATCGGAATATAATTGTGGCCTAACCCTAACCTGGTACATACACTACGGGAGTACCCATAAATCACCACTTTTACTAACTAATAGAGTTTACCGTATAGGGAACGTACAAGGGAAGATCGGGTCCGCGACATAATTAAGCCGTATTAAGTTGGAATTTTTTTCCTGGGGATCATTATATTTCGAATCCCATGTAATCGCTAATATTTCCTCACGGCTAAGCGCTTTATAAATTTCGCAACGTGAGGTCTAGTATTTGTACAGTACGTTTATCGAACGTCACGTCGCATTTGGTATTTATCGATCGTCTGTGTAATCCATCACGCATGACGTTCATACAAATCTCATATTCAATACTCGGCAGGCAACCGGAAAACAAGCAATGCAACACCAGCTGGTTAACGTGGATTCGTTTATTTAGATAATAGCAATCGTATAAAGTATGAAAGGTTATGACAGACACCTTATGGGCCGAGTGTATTGATAGTTGTATTAGGAATACATAACATAGGCATAGGTATTGAGTGCCTTTAAACAAAGCTGAAGAAATAGGTCAATTATTGTATTTGGTCTTTTATAGTGAAGGGACGTTTGAAAAATATTTCAACAATACTTTTAAACATGTGCATGATACTGTAACCAATACACTTGAAATCGCTGGTTAGCCATGAAAAATAACCTATCTTAGTCTAGACACCGAAACTGGTATCTGGCACATAATTATAATCTAACATTGTCTAACATGCCATGGGCAGTTTCCTGTTTACTGTGTTCAACTCGATCATAAAACGACTAGCACAAAGTAGGAAGCCTGTGATTAGTCCACTACATGGTACAAGGCACAGCGTTTAAGACCATGATAACGCATGTTACACAACTATGCCCAGCAAAGAATAGTTTCAGGTAGAGCTATACGAATATGGATGTATGTATGTTTATTTGCCTCAAAAATGTACAGTATCTGCATAATGAATAAACGGTACAACATAAACGGGATACATGTTTCAATACCTTACTGGCCTAAGACACGGAAACTAGCATATCATGCGTATGAATCACTGAACAAAATCATTTTAGTCTAAATCTTCTATCTGTTTTTAAACGAAATAATATGTCTGGAATTGATGATATAGGTGCATTGAAATTGTAATAAAAAGATAGGTCGAAACAGCTAATGAGAGACGTTTACGTTTGAGTCGCTGTTGCAAGACAAGAAAGTGAATTCACGATATTTGTAAGCAAATGCAAAGTTTTTGGCTGTAAACAGTGCTTTCATTTTTTCTTTCGAAACATTTTTTTATGCATAAGAAGGTACATTTTATCATTTTTTCAGTTACTATAGTCTAAAAATAATAGACAAGATTTGACATATATTAAAGTCGGAAGAAAACGGCATCTCCATGGGAAGAAAAGTATACATCACAAGGTAAGATAATGAAATAATAATACAATTAATTAATGATTACTAGAAAATGGTTCTCAGCCTGTCTAAAAGAAAAAGCGTAATTGAATTTTTTTTGATAAATTTGGTATTTAGGATTGCGCTCAGATATATTTTGTTTAAATTGTCATACATTTAAATTTCATTTTTTAAATTTTCAATATTTACAAGTAACAACTTATATTTTTAGATCTGTATCAATATGTGCCGCACATCGACTGCATTCTTCTCGTTTAAGTGACGAAGAAAATGCAAATGTCTACGGCAAATGCAATCATATACATGGCCATGGACATAACTACAGGTACTTCAGTACGTTATAATGCTTAAAAAATTGTTTAACCGAATATTTCACTATTCCGAATAATAATGTAATGTCGTATAAATTGTAAATTGGGGGCAAGTTCATGTGGAAAATTACACGAAAAACTACATCTTCATGTCGATCACATCTAAACTGACATAAGTATAAAGGTCATTGATTTTTGTTGTTGTTTGGTATCTGATTAGCCATTAATACGGAAGTAACCAAGGAAGTTGATGCTGGGGGAAACCTTCTTTCAGAGGTACAATAGATACCAAGCCGTAAGATATAATTGAAAAATATACAAATTAATTTCAAAAACAAATAAGTCAGACTTGTCATGTCACTGGCCTCTGGTTTCAATCTTAGTAATAATCACTGTGAAATTACAATAACAAATTTAGTTTTAATGTAAATTTAGTTTTTACACAATATTGAAAAAATTACAATTTTGGCCCATGACTGTTATTACAATTTGCATCATCAATATGAATTTTTTTATCGTTAAGAATTGAAGTCACATTATGTGGAATACCGGATGAATATGGAATGGTTATGAATTTAACAAAATTGAAGAAAATAATGGAGGTAAGTCAAATTTACTCGGTAAACAGATTCCTGTTCAGGACCACTTTCATTTGGGCATTACTTTCGTTAATTATCTCTCTCACTTTCCCCGTATATTGTCATCCTATTATATGCAGTTCGCTATCATCCGATTCCTCTCTTTCTGTTCAGAACCCCATCTTTCTCTTTATTCTATCGTTGGTTCATCATTTCCGTCGATTTTCTCCCTCACTTTGACCAATTCTCACATTTTATTCTCTCGTTTTACCATTATTTTAGCTAATTTTCTCTCTGACTTTCTCTGTTCATTTCCATTACGACTCTCTCATTTCTTTGCCTTCTTCTATTTTTTTCAAACATTCTCTCTTTTCTATTCTAGGACGTCATAATGAAACCAATGGACCATAAATTTATAGACAAAGACATAGAATACTTTCAAACGGTACCATCGACTGCAGAAAACATTGCAATTTACATATGGGATGAGATGAAGAAACGAATAAAAGAAGGGTTGCTTTATGAAGTGCGAATACGTGAAACGGACAACAACGTTGCCTATTATAAAGGAGAAGAATCTTAGCACATCAACAGATGATCAATACAAAAGCACGCCAAACGTAACATTATGAAAGCCTAAGTTTATTAAATATTACACCATATTCGGGTAGTACGGTACATATTCATTGTAAATAATAACCTGTTTACTTGAACTATTTTAAATACACCTCATTATTCTTAATGTAAGAATTAGCACTTCTTGTTATCTTATTCTGCATAGAACTACCGGACGGTAGCCTATAAAGAGCGTAGTGAAGCTGCGTTTGAAAAAAGTCGTACACATTTTCCGAAATACTTAAATCTTCGCAGGAATTTTTATGCGGAATACCATATCAAACTATCGTTAAGTTTACAACTGCGCGGAACGCTAGCTTAGCTGAAGTCTATCATAAAATAGCTTGAAAATCAGCGTTCAGGTGGCGTATATGGTATATGACGTATATCAGGTGAAGATGAAAGCTTCGTACTTATTCCAAGGAAAAGAAATCCGACAAGAGGGCATCATAAAATGAGGTCGATATGACAATCGTGTTCCTAACTCTTAGACCAATACGACATCCGCAAAGACGTATGAGGCATAATGAGCTACATTTTTTAAAATAATGCAAAGGGGAATAGCTTTGAATCACGAGTATTTTCAGTTCAGTACCAATCCCTTATAATTTCCCGCCATTTTACATCTAATCCCATAAAAGATAAGTTGAAAAATTACCAACCCTCACAATTCAAGTTATTTCACATAAAATACCACAAAAACAACAAGTCTAAAATATACAAGAACTCACGAGTTTTAGCATGTTCTTTCCCAGTGAAGCAGTTCATATCGGCACCGCTAAATGTCACGTGATAAGCTTCAATTAAATTATCAGTTCGTACAGCGTTGATTAGGTTCTGAAATGATAATCAGTAAAATAGATTTGTTTGGGTTCTGTTCAAAAACGGTTGGTACTTTTGCAGAAGAAGAGACTTCATTTCCAATGAGTTGCACAACATGAACCGTTATGGTTTTATAAATCACAAAATGTTCTAGTGTTAATTACAGCTTACAGGTATATGTCAAAATATGAAATCTAAATTATTGTAACACCAAAATAGTTTTGAAATGAATACATAACATACATTGTTCAATTTTTCTTGATCTCCGTCGTCTCGTCTCTCTTTGACGTAATCCATATCAATATATTTTGATTTGATAAACCAGGATCGTTGATTTCTGTGTAGAATAAAATAATAAAACTTTGAAAAGCTAGCACTAAAATACCCAAGCAAAAAGTTACATATGTTCACAAACAGCTGTACTAGAAATCACAACATAGCATTAGTTAAAAATGAAAAACTGGCAATAGGAGTTTTCAAGCAAACATGATTCTAATCGATCTAGATGTTTATTATCATAGAGCCATTCAAACAATGCCTATAGGTGGATCGGAGCAGTTCAGTCAATAGGTCCCGTGTAGCAGCTTGGTTGGAAAACATATATCACATAACAGTAGACATTTTGAAACTTATTTTATCATCAAAAAAACAAGGAAATAATCGACACAAAAGTTCTATATGTACAAAACTTACTTATCAGCCATGTCAGTAATCCCATCACTGCTACTGAGATTTTGAGACCAAAATCTGTTTGCTTCACCATTGCCAATATCAATGAGTAACTAGAAATAACAAAGATTCAGATTCGGCAATTAAATATTACAAATATTGTGGTAGAAGGATAAACTTCGATTTGACTAGTGTACGGAATCGAAGATCATACAGGCGAATAAAAATATCGTCTCCGGCTACAGACTCCCCTCGAAAAACCGACAGTTCGATGACAAAAATTTTGACTCCAACTCCAGGAAGACAAAACTTTGACAACAAAAATGTTGTCATTTACAAGACTTTTCGGTTTCTGTTAAAAATTTGAACTTCGGCATCTCGAAGACTTTCTTTTTATTAAAAGTTTGAAATTCCAGTTATTCAATCCAAAACTGATTCAAATTCAGCAAAAACTTACTCTTTTCATAGCTGGCTCCCAAATTTTAATATCCATTTTCAGTGATCGAACTTTACTATTGTGAACACCAAGTTCTCTATGTACTCCAGCACAATGTTTACATATTACGATAGCAAGATTTATTGAAGCCCAATCTGGCAACGCTCGTCCACAATCTGCGCATTTCTTGTTAGTCTCGTTGGCCCAGATTTCGTTCAGCACCTAAAATGAGAAAATAGGAATAAATCAATACCGGTACGTTCATGAGAATATTTATAAAGTTTTTCCAATTATTTCTAAAGGAGTTTGTTTTGAAACAAACACCGACTGCACTGAGATTTAAGCATTTACCTCCCCTTCAAAGTAATGAGAAACGTTCAAACACGACCAAAGATAGTAAACTGATAATGCGCGCCAGAAGCGAGTGAATTTTTTTTTGGGCGGTTTTGTCAATTTATAAGCATCAAACCAGGTATTATATGAAAGCTGAGGAAAAATATCATTTTGTAACATCCCGGAGAAATTGTATTACTGTATTATTTGTATTTCCGGCTCCTTCGTGTATGCCACCGACATGTATTATCACAATTCTCTCAAGGTATTCCATCGTGTTTTTTCACTTATTTTCACAAAGCCTGATTAGAGAGTATCCCATCGTGAATATCCAAAGGTGTCCATGCAGTACATTTTTGTCTCATATTTTAAACCATATTTGAAGCTTTGACGACTATACTGAATTTCTGTTATGTGTGTTCGTCTTGTATTTATCAAGTATTTTGTACCATGGCGGAGTTGAAATAAATTATCTCATCTAACTGACCTGATAATCCGATAGGCCTTCAGCAATCGCGTCTAGCAAAGGCTCTATCCACGACTTCTTCTCTTCCTCACTGTCGGCGGTAAACCTGAGAAAGCAATATTTAAGATATTTTTACTTTGAAACGAAGAGGTTCAACAAATGTAGGATTAACAATATCAGGTAATAGAATACTCGAAAAATATTGGGTTTGAAAACGGATAACCAGATACTTCTCTCAGATTCGTGGACTTCATGGTGGGGGAAGTCGTAATCGACCAGCGGGCGGATATGCGAACCCATTCCATGTAACATGCATTAATATATATATTTATTAGATGGTGTGCAACTACTAACAAATGATGAATGATTATATATTTCAGAAAAGTAAAACTCAGATAATATTTGGTCGTTATGGTGGAGTGTTACGTTCTAAAACTGTATCATATCATTTATTCCAACACTAATTGGTTGTATTTTAGAATTAGTGCGAGGGCACACACTCCAAGACTAACCAAAAAAACATTCCAAAACTCAATAGCTGGCCCTAGTGGATTTGATATATAGAAAATATACCAACTGTAAGAGCAGTAATCTAAACGTCTGTGAATACATTCAATTATTTATATCCAACCCACCAAAAACACCAAAATGTTCACCACTTATAAGGTACTATATACGTATATATAAATATATACTCGTACAATCCAAAAATTTTAAACGGAAACGAACAGCCAAAACTGCTTTTTGAGAAAATACCGTCATCGCTTTCGAGGTAAAATCACTAAAAAGTTTAAATTTGTACTTATTGATTGCGTCATAACCATATATGTAGAACATTGAAATTGAGTACAGACTTTGATAGTCGATTCGTGATTATAATTTACGTAATTAGATAACTCAATATGACGTCATAAACTCATCGTCGATTATCGTGTGACCAGAGTTATATCGAGTTTCAGCAAACTAATTAAACTTGTTAAAGTACTGTCTAGGTGTCTTACGTGAAAGTGCGATATGGAAACACGATCGAAAATTTTCGATTTCCGATGTCCTTGACTGTTGCCAGTTTCATCTGTAGTCTGTCAATGGAAAGTTGTATTCATTGATAAATTTGAAAAATAAAGGGCATTGTTTAAATTGTATATGTAATATCGAAGCTACAAATTTAAACTTTGGAAGATGTAAATAAATATGAAAGAGCATTGTACGTGCTGTAGAATTGATTCTCTCTATATTATGATATACTGAATCAAATCCAAAGCTTTAATTTGGTTTTTTGTCGAGTGACCATCCAATTGATTTACCCTTGTATGGTGAAACTATTTACAACTGTTTGAAAAATTTGTACATAAAATGCTGCTGTAATTTTTAGAACTCTTATTCGCGTCTTTTGCCTAGTAAGGGCCTCCTAATTTGTTTGGGAGGACTGGAATCATTCCGGTGTCGATTCCTTAGTCAATTTATTAGGTGACGTTAGGTTATCAAAGTTAGAATGTTGATTTTAACGACCATCACAAAGAATTTCAAACTTTTCTTTATTCATTTCCACACATATTTTTAAAACAATGCATTCTGTAATATATTTGTGATACATTTTCGTGACTACCTTATTACTTACTATTGACTTAATTCAATTCATGTATTTTGAGTACGGATATAAAAAATAACGTTGATCGTCAATTAATAAAGCACTAGAATATTCTTAGCTAGACTAATAGAATGTGGACATACGTATTTGTTTCCTCGGAATCTAGTTATGCATGCATCTATCTGTATACTACACCCAATCTTAAATCACAATCAGTAGAATAATAATAGAACAATAAGAGAGAGAGAGAGAGAGCTATAGTGCTATACTATTTTTTCGTCACCGTTAACTTTCTGAGCTCTTTTTGATTTAGTTCATCTTATGTAGGTTAGAAGGATACATTGGGGTTAGTTTCCCATCCTTCTCTGTTTATGTTAGAGAAAGGTGGGTAATGACCTATAATCTAGCCGAAGAGAATGATGAGTCAATAACGGGATAGCACCTCATTAGATGGTGATCCCAAATTGATAATAATTAACCAACTACGGCATTTCAACCCAAACGTGTAAACCTTGAGCTTGTGGCATCATACATACCATGAGTCCATTTGGCAATTCTAAATTAAATTAGTAAAAGACCATGTTGGTGTCACAATTCGTATGAAAGAAATCTAATGTTCCGTTACTTTTAATTAAACAAACACAAGATGAAACGCATGTAACTAATTGTGTATTTCACGTTTACTTGTCAAGTAAACGTTTGTTTAGGAAATATTTACTGACGAGGTACTGCACAGAGACCGCTCAGGTTCTACCGTGACTAATATCAAGAACGTTAAGGTAATATGTCAAATGTTTATAGCAAGTGAATTTCCAAAATAAAAAGATTTCCTGGTCATAAACTTATATATAGCTTAAAAACTTATTGGTGAGTTTAATTTGTAATTGATTTTGAAAAATAATACTAATTATATGAATCATCATAATATTATATAAATGATAAGCGACTATTCAATACAAAATTTAAGATACACCCTATATAGTATACTGAGGGGAATATGCTGAACATCAAGAGAAACGCGTTTTATAAATGGATATACAGAAAAGTTGGTTTGGAACGTATTATAAAAAAATATATATTTTAGAAATCCGATCGATTCGGAATACTCGAAAATTATTTTGAACACAATTCCACAATAACAGACTATTTGAAACAATATATTTTCATGAATTTGGATCCTCACAGTCATACATTGGGTTTGTTGTTTATATTAGCGAAGTTGAACGTTAGCCAAGCCCAAAACACTCAAAATGTTAGGTTTCATAAAAGCATTCTTGCATGAAAACAAACTTCATCTTAATACAGCCTATTTCCAACTTAATTATTACTTTACTGTAATTATCCGGCATACTTAACATAAGTGGAAATTAGTCACTTCAAAGACAGTTTCTATGCCACGTATACGAAAAAACATTCACGAAAGACAACAAAAATTGCACAACTTTAATGAACTCGAGGTCATTGCAACCAGACAGATCAATAAAGATACCGTCTTTATTCGCAATTAAGCAAAATAATATCAAAATACGAAATTTTGCATCGAGTGAAAGTAATGAGTCACTATTATGAGAAATATAGCATGGAATTCTTCCATCAAATGAATTTTTTTAACAAAACAAGGTTTGAAATATTGGTTTACATTGTAAAAGCCATACATACAAACATAGTTTGCTATCGTATATAAAGCAATGATAAACTGTTAACATACACGAACTATGTCTATCTAATGGTATTGATTGGAAAGATTTCTTACCTTGCGATAGGTTGTGCAAATATAAATTCATTCTTGCTTTTATAATAAACAGCTTGTTCTCCTTTGATAGCCATGTAGATCTTTTGTCTCAGTCCTTCCATTTTCAAAGCTCCTTCTTTGTAAGGCATATACATATTTCCACCCGGCTTCAACTGGTGTCCTGCTTTCTGTTAGTTGAAAAAATGTGAAAGTATGAATTTGAAGAACTTTGATGGTACATGTCAATACAAATAGAGCACAGTATTCATACATGGAAAATACATCGATATTTTATTCCCGAATATGGTCGTAAAATTTGGTTCTTATTTGATATAAGAAAGACAAATCATTAATTTGAAAAAAAAAGTCAAAACTGGTTGATTAACAAAGCATTGTTTAAATTTTGTCAAAGCACACATATTTTTATTGGGCTGTACACTAAATTGATTAATATAAACAGGCAATACGCATCTACTTATGTGGTATATATGAGATATCAAACAAAAAAAATAACTCAAAACTGCCAAACGAATTTTTTTTTATTCACTTCATCCAGTATTCATTAAAGATGAGAATTCTTGTAACTTGACGACTATTTAGGATGTTTTGAGAAAGTGACAACATTATATCTCATAAAATTACCTGAGATGGCGTAGTTAACGTTTCGGAGTCGGAATTAGACATAATAGTAATCTTAATAGTGTCACAGTCTTAGTTATAAGCCACTGTAACAGAGTAAGGTCAAGGCGAAAATTTCCAATTCCAAGTGAATTTTCGACTTCCTGCACGTTCTTTAATTACCGAAAACCCATATTATCTTACTTAAACTCATCTAATTAAACCTAAATTACCTAATTTAAACGTAATTAAGTCAGTAGAATATGTTTCAACATCATTCACTAAATAGCCAGAATATGTGTTATATACATTTGCTCAGATCCTACTGTCTCTATCTCACAATACGGCCTTAATTAATTGAGCTGTCTCGTAATTAAGCCAACGAGGTCTTCATATATGCATGCCAAGCCTTTGTTAATTTAAATCATACAGTTTTGTTAATCATTTATAAGCGTCAATGTAAATATAATGTTCTACGTTTAGCTACATGAATGATATAACATTACGTAATATAAATCACCGCATTTTTTGTTCTACAAAAATAAATATTTGAAGAAAAGTAGATTGGTTTGTATGATCTACTTTTGAATTTTATTGTTTTCTAAATTAATTTAATGACATTATCGTAAAACGACAAAACAGATGAAAGTTATGCATCATAATTGTAAAGTATGATAAAGGTATTTAAAAATTACAATATTTCATGGATGACGATAAAAATCCAATTAGGGCGACGAATTTTATATGATTGTTTAAATTATTCTGTTTTAATGAGCACATTGTACATTGTCGTCAAACGTAAATGATAAAAAATGGAAAAAACTAATCAGCATTTCACTGTAAATCTGACTACTGGCAAGCTCTATCTTTTTGAAATGCTGGAAAATAATCACAAATCCTAACGAGATTAAACTTCCAAATCTAAGTCAAAAACAAAACAGACTATTAATGCAGTATATCCTAAGTTTTTCAAGTTAATTTCTTAGAAATACACTCTAAATTTAAGCAAAGCTTTACACAAATTTTTTTTTATATTCGATTAAATATAAATGGTATATTCCCTGCTTTAAAACCTCAAGGATTCACTCAGAAGTCAAATAAAACATCGAATACGACTGTTATGATGAAGGCTATTGAAATAGGGTGTTAAAAAAGCCCAGTTACTATGAAGGCAGTTCTCTCTATATACCGGTATATTAACCTTTTATTTTATTTAAATCTGCGGTTATTTAAGTCTTTTTTACTTTATTTAATACATCTTTATATGCCTATCATTAATTACAAAAAGCACATTAAATTTACCTAATTTAATACAGGACATGAACACCCTGCGCGAAATCTAAACCTCAGAAAATGTCCTTAACTCAACTATACAAGCCCAAGTCCATGGCATACACAAATTCCAATAATTATAAGCTTCGTAAAACTAAAAATCAATCAAAAATTCAGCACGAAACACTACAGCAACGAGACGCATTCAACGATACTACTGAGTATACCAGCAGTGAAGAAAACGCCATAAATAAATCGATCGATTCCACTCAAGTTCGATTTATTTATGACTATCATGAGTCGAATTATTAACATACTGTCCGATAAATTGGAATGGACATTGCTTGATTATATAAATTGAAGTTGACATGTGTTCTGAATATCATAATTAAAACTATGAAGGCTCAGTTTGATGGTTATAAACAGGACTGTTGTTAAAAGAATACTGAATTGTATTATTGCATTCAAATTGGAATGGACATGGTTATCACTAAGGTCATTGAGATCATAAACCGGAAATTGCCTCGACGCATTTTGTAAAAGCTTTTTTAATCATTATTACTTATCTTATATTATTCTAACACAATATCACTGGAACATAATTTGAATTTTATTTTATAGAGCATTATCTTTGGCCTAAAAGACAATGCGCTGTTTTCCTAAAGTTCCCAATAAAAAGTATGGCTGCCAATAGACATTCTTGCTGCATACCCGGTAAATGCTATGTCATAGATCAGAATCAGAAATAGTTGAAACATAATTAAAGTTGTAAGAATATTATTAAAAGTACAACGATGTATAGGCAAATGTGCCTATTTTTAAAATAATAGTACATAAAGAATAAAAAACGCATAGTTGGCAAATTAAAAATCATAGGTACGGTACGGCGTTAAGTTAAAGCTCTTTTGATACAGTGAACCATTCTAATTTACTAGCAGATCCCATTTGAACGTTATTGTTATGCGAGTAAGACATTGCAGAATCAAATATGCATACTACCTTCATTAATTCCACTGTCGAGATATCTTTGTTGAATAATGCATGCGTTAGCAACGCAGAATTTTGTCCAGGCATATCTTTGACTTGTCGAATTTCACCGCAAACTCTACTGAATCGTGTACACTAACTACAAAACTATTAAAACGCCTTTACAGGTACTATAACATGATAATACATAAAAAAAATACTTGATGAATATGAATATGAAATTTTAAATTACAAAATGATTAATAACATAGTTCTCCATTGCCTAACTGCGAGCAATGTATATACTGAACTCAACTCAGCTGGTAAAGACGGCTGTGTCTGATCAATGAGCCTGCCTTCAACTTTACGAGGCACTTATATATTAGTGCCTAATACTTGAAAGTTACTGCCTTGACCGTCAATGCATAATCATATTGGACAGTTCAATTTATAAGTGTTGATGGCCCCGAGGTATCGTTTAACTTATGGTACAAACAGGGATTTAGTTTAATTAAGGTTTGAGAGTATTGCTTTCAAGGAATTTATTGTTCTAAAAAATTACCAAATTTTATGCCATAGAATTTTGTGTAAATCATAATTTTTCTCTAGTTAGGTACTTCAATTAATTAATTTAAAATCATATCGTATTGAAAGACGGAACTCTAAAACTAACTTTCTTCTAGAGTTTGGATACAATCTTCGCCACAAACATCCTAATATTATTATCTTCTAAATATTGATTCCTGTTAAATACTTGATAATATCAATTACTAACTCTGCTTTTCTAACATATATTACCAATACCAGCAGTCATCTCAAATCTTATTCAAAAATATACGAACGTGTTAGTCTTGACACGTCTTGGCTGCAATAATCATTATAACGCCAAACAAAAATTTAGTACTTGATTCAAGAAAAAAAAAACGCATCTTAGTAACAATTAGCCTTCCTGTTATAGTGCTTATTATACACACAACTATTTTCTCTCCGGTAGGACCGGATGACACAAAAATTCACAAATTACAACTTGCTAAACGCAGCGAAAAAAATTTTCCCAGCCGAGAGTATCGTCAATTAAGCATGAATTGATAGATAATATTGAAGAATATCTACCGATCACGAGTGGCACAGAATTCAGAGGTATTATGTGTAATTAAGCCTTTTGGAGAGACGGCGCGAAGGTAAACAACGGTAGTACAATTGTCTCTGGGATTTAATCCACAAGTCTTTAACGATCGGGACAAACAAACAATGGACGTCAAATTGACATAACAAAGGGGTTAATTAAGCAATTAGCAAAACAAATAACTCGAAACTTGTCAGACGGTGAAATAGTAGAAGCCGTATAGTTAGTTTATGAATTTATAAAAAGATACAAAAGGTTGAGACGATTATATAATTATTGGCACATTACCCGATCAACTATGAACGAATCAGAAACATGGAATCATATAAAGGAGAACTGAATGATATAGAATATGTCACACGAAAATTAAATTTTACTACATATTATCCTGAATTTATGAGATAGCGTTATAGTTTCTATATGGCAAGCCCAATGGCAATTTGAAACCATTTATCTCTATTCCAACTGTCCTATATTATTTGAATAACAGTTTAGGAAACTCGGTTTTCCGTTTATATTTCTGGATTTAGCTAATTCCAGACAGCGATGTTCTTCATGTGATATATTATTATAATATCTAGTTATTTAACATGTCGTGTAAATAGATTAATCATCTAAAATGATAATCTGGAGAAGAATAGTAATATTTTAAACGAAATTCACAATTAACGAGTACAGAATAATTTATTGTTTTAGCTAAATAGAAAATATTTTTCAGTGGATCTGAAAGTATCTGCACCCAAATGTAAATCACACTGTTGCTCCTTAAACTATCAGTTGAAGTTACGCAAAACTACGGTAACTACCTGTTCTTATCCCATACATTCACAGTTGAAATATGCTCGTCTGAGGAAACGTAATAAAATTACATCTGTTCATACGTTTAGCAAGACTCTTGCATGACATAGGTACCTAATTTTTGAACAGGATTTATTTACCTGAAATGTCAGCATTGCAGCCATCAAAGTAGAAGTCCACATGGTTCTTTCGTCGCTGTTTTCTGCTTGGAAAATGAACGTTCTACCTCCTTTCATTTGAAGGTGGAATATAGTTTGGCTGTTCGGTGGAACTTGCAGTCGCATCATTACTTCAATGGGCAGTATTCCTTTGCTGAAATCAGTCTGTAGATTTTTATAATAAATATTCATATTTTGTCTGAATTGGTATATTATTTCCCTGCCATTCAAGAAACAGAGTTTGCAAAACCATGACCTGCAGCGTTTATAGGTATACTCCGAAAAAAAAACGATGTAAAAAACAGGTTTCGATTTTTTTTTTCAGTTGATAAGCCCATTGAGTCTCAGTGACTTTATATGTCTTACTAGTTATTTATAGCCTGTCATAACAAGCAACGGTGAAAAGCGTGCACTCCTTTAAAATGTACCAATTGCTATATCTCGCCATTTTTTTTTACATTACGAACAACTTTCGGGGAAACTGGATCAGTGGTAAAAACTAGAATATACCTTAGTTTCGCTTTCATAATATGCAAGTTCGTCTCCATCAAACATGGCCCATCTTTTTCGCAATGGAGCTCTTCCTTCGTGACTATATAAAAATATTGTTCAATTAGGTTTAAAATATATAAAACTCATAAAATTGAGCCTAAGCACCTTGCTTCCATAAGCATATATAGGGTGACCACAAAAAACGGAACCCATAAATTTCCCAATACTTCCGGTTATACTTCCGTTTGTGAACTTCTTCTTTGTTGAACTTCTGTTTTGCGCAGCGGATACAAGTCTGTCTCCTATGCCTGAGAGGTGATTTAGAACAATTTCTAGAAAGTACATAACTTTTGTGGAAAACGTCCTAGATTTCTGAAATTTTTGGGTACAACCATGCTCAAACATAAGTTCAACAACAAACAAATCTGCAGAAGTTATAAACAAATTTATGGGTTTCGTTTTTTTTTTGGTCACCCTGGTATATGAGTTGTTTACATACATATTCATGTTAAGAATAAAATATATAGTAACATTATAATTAATACTTTTATGCTTATAATAAGATATAACGTACTCACCCTCCATGTTTCCATAACCATCCGGACTTTGTTCTCTTTTTCGTCTGAAACACAATAAGAAAACTATGAGAACGTCATACATATGAGATGGGTCGAATTTCAAACAATAGAGAAGACCACTCTGACGGATTAAGATGAAGTCATGAGTGTACACATTGAAATTGCATAAAAGGTTTCCCATGCATGATATATATCAGTTGTGACCAACACGTCGATCGCCAAGTCTCGAGTAGTCGATCGCATAACCCTAAAAACTACCCAAAAATAATAATAAACCAGTTTCATGCAGCGCCGGTTGTGTGTTTTAAAGCAGGAAGAATACAGTGCTGTACATGCGCAAAAAGTGATACTGTAAACATATACACTGTTCGAGTATGAGCAAGCCCGATAGAGCATATTATTTCGTTTTTGTGCATGACCTCATTACCGATCAGTCAACCGCGAGCTATTTCGAAGATTTTAGTCGATCGCGGTCGAAAGCAGGTTGGCCACCCCTGGTATATGAAGATCCCCCAGAAACGTCAGAAAAATGAAATTAGAAATCCATTTCCTTGTACATAGTAAAATAACAAAATCCATCACGCGTTCACAAGCAGAAATTTGTTTATTGTCGAGAATGGCTCAAAATTTACAGACATATCCTGTTTAATGAATGATCGTATATTTCTTAAAAAAGATATCTAGCATACCGCAACCACCAGCTAAATAATTACGAGAGAGCTGAATAATTTTCAACAATATTCCTTTACATCAGCATCAATTCTTATTTCAATAGGCATTCAAAATGCAAATATTAAAACCATATGGACGTTTTAAAGTATAGCCATGAAGTTATTGTCGATATCCTGAGTTATACAACAAAAAAATGCTGGAAGCTAACGATTAAACCAGCTTTACAGTTATTCGAAATAGCCACGTGCGTCAAACTAATGTAATAAAAATATCTGAGTTTTGTTGATTATACACTAATGCACGATTAAGCATAGCGCATTCTCTTAACAAAGACACGAACAAGAATGTAAACATAAGCAGTTGCAATATTTTAGAAAGTACCAGAATCTTATATAAGTATACGGCATTCAGACCACGCAAAACGAAAACCCGAATGCGGAAGTGGACGTGGGACCCCAAACTGGTACGCGACTAAATGTTTAAACATAAGACTAAGCGTATGTGTACACAACATTGGGATGGCCAGAACACAGTTGTTCAGACAGTGCTTGCTTACCTATTTGGGCAAATTATACTTGATGGGGAATTCATATTTATTATTTTTTTCGAGGGGGAGAGGGGGGGCGCTCGATCCATGTCGAGTATGGGATTTGTTGACCAATTAATTGTTTCAGATACATATCTTCATGGTGGATGAGGCCGTAATCGACCAGTGGTTACCTGACCCTACGACGAAGGGGAATCCATCAATTCTCTCGCGTAAAGTTATTCCCCACGAGACCCGAACCTGCGAGGTGTTGATGGCAAACAGTTCAAAAAGCTTGGGACGATGCGCCAACCTTAGAGCACATAGACAGCGGAAACAAATATATTGCCCGAACGAATCCGTGCCATGCCTCTGTACATAGTCTAAACGAGAATATAAATATGTTCAACATGCTTGTCGATATTCCAAGAAAAATGATCATTTCAAAATTCATTAAAAAATAAAAACTGTTTGAGTAATAACGAACAAATAAAAACGAATGTTCGTCAGCGGCCACCGCAACAACAAAGTGGTATTTCATGCACTCGCTATAAAGCACGTAAATTATTGGTATTGCAGGATGCCTTTCACACCAAATAAGACCTGAAATGTCAAATGTGTTATTACATATCGTATCATGCAATTAAAAAGCCAAAACACGAATAAACAAGTGGTGTTGAAACAAAGTATAGCAAAATTACTACGTGCAGGAATGCTTTTAGCAAACGCGTGTATAAAACGATTTTTTTTTTCATAAAAGTACAACTACAATCCTGTCCAATTGTCTTTAGGACTTCTTACTATAATTAAGTCCGATTTGTGCATGAGCACATTTATCAACTCCAAGCACCATATTCGGACCAAACTGGGCAGGTTATTCCGAAATGGAAATTTTCGGTTGCAACAAACACGATGATTCCTAAGTACTTGTAGCATCTTCTATGTTGCCTTGTTCAGAGCAAAATGTAAAATACCACGACTACCAGCTAAACCTAAACAATTAGGCCTGATGTTTGATTTTTTATCGTGCATTGCCTGCTGTTGGCAGGTTGATACCATTATTTTGTACGTTTGTTCACACATTTTGCTCCAAACAGATCCCCGTACAAACAGTCACTAATATCTAAGTGCAAAAGGAAACAACAATTTTTCATGGGCTGCAGTTGGCAATTTAGTCCCATTATTTTTTATATGAGCCTTTTTACACATTTCGCTTCGAACAAGACCAGTATAAGCAAGCACTGATATCTAACGGTATGTGAAGAGCTACAGTTTTTGAAGGGGCAAAATCCTTCCGTCTTGGAATTGCGTACCCAATTTATTACACCCTCGTAAGGTGATCGGCATGAGATTTGAAACGAAGATGTGTAACTTGTGATGCCAACACAGTTACTCTAACATTTTAACCGCTAAGCCATTATACATTGAGAAAATTTCGATTTATTCAATTAGCTTAGTGAGAAGCATTCAAACGTTTGGCCCAAAGAGGTTATCAAATGCCAAAAAAATAGAGAACAGCCATGCTCGTTATTTTGGTGCAACAAATCGTCACAATTTCGTTCCAAGAAGACAAGGTAAAGAATTACAAACATTTCTATCAAATGTTCGTTACTTTAAATGAATGCTTACCATAAGAGCCGTCACGCTACACGTTTGATACAATGTGATAATTCCAACACAATTCCAATGTTTCGCCCATTTAATAAATATCCGACAGTTAGATTAGATTATATTCCAAATACATGCATCCACTTTAAAAATATTCCAAACAAGATAAAGGAAACAGCTTGCTGTTAGTTTAAGTACTACTACTTTTCTCTAAAATATCACTATTCTCTACCTAACCAAAGTCAAAAATATATTGAGAGAATGCTTGGTGTTCTTTTAGAGTAGACGAATGTCTTTATTTGGCGTTAATGCCTTTGATACACGAAGGCATATTATAAGTCTGTCTGTCTGCAACGCCGTGGATGGAATTAGGTATATTTATGTTTCAATTATAATTTTGTCGAAGTCGAAATATCGGGTAATTGTACTACCGATTGGTAGGCTTGTTAAGTTCTAGCCTTCCTAAACTAAAAGACTCTGACTTGCCCAGTGTAATTTTAATTCCCTTCAAGCACTTTAAACCCAATTCAAGTCAACTTATATAATGGGAAAGTCTTTAAAAAGAGTAAGCAGAAATACAATCGCGAAATACTTGGAAATATGACTACAAAATACAAACGACATTTCCTCACTTTATTGTGTTCGTGCCGCTTATTATTTACTAAGCCTTAGATTCAGCTAAGCTGGAAAATCACTAAATTTGACACCACAAATTCTGCTCTGCTCTTCAACCGCATTTTACTATTCAAATTGATTATGCCCTATCAACAAGGCTGGATTTATCAATGAGCAATGTGGACTGAAGTCGGAAACCTCAAAAGCCAATTCGTGTTTTAATTTTAAAGTCGTGTTCCAGAATTTAATCAGTTCAATTTTTCAAAACTGAAATTTATTTATCTATTTGTCATCAGATTATTCTCTCCACAAATATTTCCCATTAAAATCCTAAAAGTAAATGCGCTTGAATAATGAATTTGCCTAAATTTGAAACTCACTTTAACCTCAACCTATAGGGCAACTTATCGTCTGAATCCGACCCGGCACATTAACCACAGTACACCAATATAGCAAACGAATGATATGTTTATTTGTATTTTCTCACATTTACGATATCGTAATGAATTTGGCGTATTCGAAAGTCAATTCTAAGTCAATTCAACAACGTTCCCAGCATATATGCTTATATTTCACGTATTGTATATTACTTAATACTACAGTAGAGTTATTAAAATTATTAAACCCTGAAACTAGTTGCATGGTACTAACAACACGATGCATTCTGTTTACATTCCTGTTCGCAGTTCACTTCTAATTACAGCCATTTCCGCGACTTACTGCAGTTGCTCTTTGTATTTGCTAACCTGTATCCTGATCTACGTGAAACTACATTTCCATTTGTGTACGCTTCCCTGTGTAAAGCCTGCTTTTAGAATGTATATAAAGATACATTTGTTTCGTGCCAGACTAAGAAGATACCATTTGATCTTTGCTATCGATAAAAATTCACAACATTGAACACAAAATGAATCATTACTACTATTAAATTCAATACACATTAATTACTAACGGAAGGTTATAAACATCAATAAGTATAGGATTTTATCTTGAATTTAGACGAACACGTGATCAAATTGCAACAGTTGATTGCGTCAACATCCTATGCTTTTACCTTCGTGTAGGAAAAAAGTAGTTTGGCAATAATACCTATATCAGTTTTTTACGCAACAGAAACGCCTTGGAACATCAATATAAATAGTGGTACTGTTTTTTGCCTCAGTGGTACTGACAGTCCATATTGTTCTAGACTTCTCCGATTGGAGTTGAAAATTGAAATACCTCAACTAGGGCTCGCTGAGCTGAACAAATGTCTAAACTTCTTCTCTAATGAGATTATACAAGGCGGCTCAGTCGATATAGACATGGCAGAGAATGCAGATATTGGATAACCGATTTATCAAAGGCTGCGACTTAGAACTGGAGTTCTATATATTTTATAAACGAAAATTTTGAGTTTAAATGAATTTACTTCACAGGATACATTCCTTTTAAACATAGTAAAATCACTAGTAAACGGACTGTTAATGATAAAATCCCGCACAACAAGCCAACATAGCCACACTTGATATAGGAACTTAGGGCACAATATGGCCACAACTAATTACCTAAAAACGACAAAAGCCAAATAGAGAAAGAGCTTGCTATACCCGAAACGGGAAGTATTTTCATCAGAACAAAGAC